AAAAGTGCACAGGGTACATTCAAGTACTCAATGAGTACAATCCAAACCAACAAAAAAAAGTTAGATTTTTCAAACTTCGATGCCAACTTCACATAGCTCACTAGCCCCAAGCTTCTCGTATTCCCTTTGCGCAACCAAATCATAACGAGCAACAATAAACGTACCAGAAATATCCACCTCATCAAAGTTAATCTCTAAAAAACATAAAACGAAAATAGTAAACCACATTGGCCCAACGCAGCGTCTAGTCTTTTCTCAAAAAATATATTCTGGATTAGAAGAAAAACCCTATTACTCTCCATCGAGGTAATGAGCGTCATCCTCGATAATTATAGAGGATAGGGTCTATTCCAAGCGGTTTCGAATTTTCAAAAAGCTCCAGCAAAGTCTAGACAGTCTGACACATTTCCAATAGTCTAATGTTGATGTAACGAATTGGGTCATATTCCCTGAGCCCCATTCATTATTACTACATAAATTCTTCAATACGTAACGAGCCAACAACACATTTCTCATTTCCTCATCTTTTTTCAATCCAAGCGAGTTTGACAGTAAACAGCACTTGCATCAACTCACTTCTACCAGTATTATTACTGGATAATCAATAAGTCATTTATTTCATTGCATAATAGCAGAAAGTGTGTGGCACAACGTGCTCCACAAATTATTAAACGTAAAAAAGAAAAAAAAATTGTCTGATGACAAACGACATCAGAAGACCGAGGAGAGGAAGCGAGTTAATTAAAACTTCTCAATTCTTCTCAGAGTCAAAAGTACATCTAGAACGTCAACGAGGAAAAACTGGACCAGTTAAAATCCCCTAGGATGAATTTTTTTATTTCTCAGGGGATGACTCCAGCGAATTGGGAGCCAATTATGCCGGAAAATCAAGCATTTAGGGATTTGTAAATAATAAAATAGTGTCGGAATATTTGAAAATAACTTTCTCGCGTTTAATATTTCGCAGTACGAGAGAATTAATGAAGCCCAATAATAGTTATCTATTTCTGTACTCAGAGACGATTTATCGAGAGGAATCTCACTGGATAGATAATACTTTTTGAGTTATTGACCGATATCTTCCTCGGTTTAATGATTTAAACCATTCCGGATGATGAAGGTCTCTCAGTGGAATAAAAATACATGTTCCGAAGGCTTTTAAATTCACCGGAAGTGATTTCACCAGCTGGAGTACTTGAACAAACGCAAGTGATTCGTTATGAACGACCGAGAGTATTAAGAGCTGATATAGTCTTCAATATTCTCTGATATATTTCTTCAATCTCTCGTGGATGGATTTGAATGAAATTTATGAATGATAAGGAATGATCTAATATTATTGAAACCTCAAATAAATTCGCACGATTCGTTGAAAGAAAATCTGACTGGAGTAAATCTTTTTCGTTGTCTGTGTATAGACACCATGGGGCTGCGTAATAGGAATCAAAATATCTCCTCGAGAGGCCACAGAATTGTCAACAAACACCCGCGCCATCATCAAGACAACTCACCCATCACCCAAGCACAAATACTCAATTCTCCAACTTATATTTCCTCGATCTTCAAAAAATTCCCCAAAGGAAAAAATTATCCCACGAAAAATCTCCTTCCCCAAAAACTATCTCAACGTGACATGACATTATTTTCATTTGAAATTACATGAACCTACGTCCCAACGATTTAATAAAACACATGCACCTCAATCACACAATATTCCACTGCATGTCACCCTAAATTCACAGCTAATTAATTCTCAATTACAGGGATATGCCCACCAGGAAATGAATTATGAAATCCACCGACGAGCGGTGTTAATTATTTTGTGATATCGAGCGTTCAACCCGCAGTACATCGTTGAAGTGTTTAATTTGATTAAATGATTGTTTTAATTATTTCGAGATGTCAATTAATTCACTCGTTTGTTAATTAATTCGAGAGGGGGAAGAGATTATTGGAGTACACGTGGGAAATACGAGGGAGGTGAGGTTATGTCGATGAGCAAAACCCTGACGCCAACTCACGGATCGAATCGATGGATTATTTATTATGCCATTAACACTTACCGATATTCGATGCTTTTGAGAAACTCTTGGTAACACTCTGCGTAATGAAAAGGGACGTCTCATTGGTTTGTTTTCACTGTTTACGAACTACTGAGTTGCCGGTGTTTATCTGTGCAAAACGGAACGCGTACTCGCGTCGCACGACCACTTGGCGCCATCTTGTCGCTCATGGCGGAACATTTGAATTTTTGAAGCGCGCTGAGGATTTCGACGAATATTGGCATCAATATTGACGGGATAAGGACCTGTAATAATTACACGAGGTTTAAGATTAATTACTGGAGATTCTTCAAAGTAAAATCTGGATGTTTATTGGTTTTGGGGATTATTGTCGAGTCAGTGAAGCTGTTGTTTGTGAAATCGTGTCTTTGGAGGGGAGGGAGGTATAAATCTCGGGCTTTAAGAGGCTTTCAAGGTTTTAATATCTTCCACCAGGACGTTATAATCCTAGATCAGCCCTTTGAAATTGTACTGAAAGAACAATTCCTTCTTTTTCTTTGTATCCCCGACGATTTTATAATTATCTGCAGTACGAAAATGTAATATATGAATATATTGAAAATAATAAAATGAAAATGTTGAGGGTTACACATGTGATCGGCCTTTGGTAGTAAATTCCTTTATTATCTAATAGATATAAAAATATTAAATTTTTAGTTAAACCAGTAAAATCACTATTTTAATGTCCCCAAAGTAACGAAAATGAGGAGCTCAGGGGACGATGTCCATCCCATTGTCGTGTTTAGCTGAGAGGGCGACAGAGAGTCGGGGTCGTATTGCAACGTCTCCCTTGAGATTATTTGCAAAAATACACGCCTCGAGGGTGATCTCGGCGACGTCTTTCACGATCTCACAGCTTCCAGTCTTGCTCTCGGTACCAGAAATATATTTATCAGTCTCCATTCGAATAGCGTACTCCTTGAAATTCGTAAATCTGCAGCGAATCGCCTGAAAGTCGACTCCATCCTGAACCTGTAACCCCTCAATGCAGTCCTCGAAGTCACAATTTTCCATCTGGCATTGTCCAGCGTTGTGAATAACAACAGCAGTCCCAAGCCCGACGAAAGAAGAATTCTGGAGAATGAGTCTTCCCCCTGGGAGAACGACTATTCCAAGTTTTACAACACTCTGATTCGATGTTATTATTCTGCAGTCAATTATCTTCACTGTGCCTTTGCGTACTAATATTCCTGCCTGCAGTTCACCCAAATCGAGTGTTAAATTCTGAAGAACGACCTCTCCCCCAGAGAAATCGAGTATAGAAGGTCCAGATGTGCTGTCCTTGGCACAGACAATAATCCTCTTCCTGTCGCCGATGCCCACGATCATTCCACCCTCCTCGAGGCCTCCTGCCCCAGATATCAAATGCTCTCCCTCACCCAGGATGACCCTATCCCCCATTTCCGAGCTGTGAAGTGCCTCCTGCATACATCCAGTGGTTTTAATGAAGACCCCCTCAGGCAGAAATTCCTTGGCCTTCTGGAGACTCCCCATAGTCTCCCCCAATTCTCCTCCCAGCCACACAAAATACGCCTCAACCCTTGGTCCCCTGCTCTCCCTCCTCTTCACTTCCCCCGAATTAATGCCAGAGTGAGGATTTCGCTGTAGCATGTCCCTCATAGCCGGATTCTCAAGCACATCCATTTCAGTTTTAATCTGCTGGAGCCTGAAGTGCAGTTTAACGAGCTGACAAGCCTTGTCCTCGTCGACGAGACACCTGGTTTCACCCTCCTCATCAGAGATATCCTCCTCCAGCCTGGAAATCTTCCCTGATATCTCCTTACCCTCCCTGATGAGGGTCCTGATAATATCGCAGGTGTCCTTATTGACGTCTCCCCTCTTCATATCGAAAAACAGTCTCACCCTGGTCTCCAGGTGGCTCGTCACCCAATCAGAGGTATCGTCGTCGTCTGCATCCCAGGGCATCCAGAGATGATTGAAAAAATATCTCAACTGATCGATGCAGTTGGCTGTACCCTCGGCATCAATTGCCGAATTCTCCTGGTCTTTTGTTGGATACAACTCCATCAGGGATACATCACACTTATCTGGCAGATGAATCTCATCCTGGACGGCTACGATTTTCACCAGTGCTGAGAGATCGGAGCACTCCACATTCTCCACCTGGACCAATACGATCGTTGGGTAATGAATTTCGAACTCCTGGCAGGTCAGACGAGGAATTTTCCAGAGAGCCTGCCAACCCACTGGCTCAATCACCAATTCCACGTGGAAGGTCCACTCGTGTCTTATCCTCGATGCTGGCACCACTGTTCCACGACCTGATAAAATCTCCTCCAGCTCCACCAGACGCTCTTGAAGGCTTTTGTCAAATGTGTAGATTTCCATTTTTGATTTTCAAATTTCAAGATGCAAATTTCCTTTTTTATTTTCTCCTCGAGTTCATCTATTTATTTATAACGTATTACTCGGAGGATTAATTATCCAATGGATCCGTCGTTTATATTCACACGTATCAAAACCCAGAAGCACTGATTTATGTTTATAAACAAATAATAATCACTTGCACAAATGCACTAACAGATGCAATCGCAATAAACAATTATTCTCCAATTGGGACTTGGAGAGTTTTAATGAGTTTCGTTTCTACACGGTATGAGTGAATATTTTTGGTACTTTGGGGGTGATAGACACTTGTGTATCAACAGGAACACGTGAATTTGTAATAAATGCAGCGCGTGTCCTCGTCGTAGCGTGGCTGCACCTCCATTGGAGTCTGTCAGCTGATCGAGACCGTTTGAATTGTTTTTTAAAACCAGGAGAGCCCTGGGATTGGTCAGAGAAAATGGTGGGGGGCTGACCTAACCCTGTTGGGGTATCTATCAACAAAATACAAAGGAAGGGTGGGATCTCACCGAATTTACCTCAGTTTGTTTAGGGCTTTTTTTTTCCGGTGAATCGAGATAATTTTGACCTATTCTGGAGATTATTCAGGAATTTTTTTGTATTCACAGAGGGGAATGGCGGCCAGTGAAGAGGCTTTTGATGTAATTATCGGGCATATCGAGGATATTCTCATGGGTAAGCTTGTTTGTACTCTATTCTTTCTATTTTACCGTTTTCTTTTATCTCTCGGGGGTTTTTTTAGAGCCAAAGTTCCAGGAAACGCAACAATACTTTTTGGAAAAATATTGGAGAGAGTTTGACTCCATTGAGGAGAATAAACTCGTTTATATGGATATCTTTGAAGAATATGTGAGTGACTGAAGCATTGGAATTTCTTTAGAATGTATGATAATTTTCAATATTTTAGTAATTATTGTTCCTAGCACAAAGCTATAGAATCGTACATTGAGGAGAGCTTGAAGAGGATTATTCCAGGGTTCTCCATGGAGTCCCTTGTAAAACAGCTCAGGTGAGACTTCTTCGGTTTATTCATAACTAATTTTTATTTCATCATCGCATTTTTACCAGTGATCGCAGTCCCGAGTTGGATGGAGAAGTCTTTGAAATTCTAGAAACCTTCACCGATTTTTTGGCCTTCAAGGAGATGATTCTGGATTACAGGGCGGTGAGAGTTTTTTTTGTATAAAAAAATTCCACAGAAATTTGACAACTCCAATTTCAGATGAAAGAGGGGAAAGTGCAGGATCTCAGCAGTGGTATTTCCATCACTCCAATGAGATTCTCAGAATCAGACGACAATGAAGGATAAAAAATCTGTAGAATTGTTTCGAAAACTTAAAAGCTTCGTCCACACATTATCACGTATGAATAATTTATAAGTGATCTCAGGTGATCAGAGAATGGGGCTAAATGAGCCCTTGAAAAATTCCATAAAAAATTAAATACTCATTCTTTATAATTAATAGTACAAAACGAACTCAATAAAAGCACACACTTATGAATTCACGTGTATTTACCAACAGAACCTCGAACTTACAAAATGAATAAGGAAAATATTATAAGAAAATTCACAAATTACCCTAAATAGAATTACAAAAAAAATTCTCAATGCATGAGGATCTCCATCTGCACGAGTTTACTGTTAGTCTCATTGGGCATTCTATAAGGTAGCGTTCCAGCGAAGCTGGTGAGGGCCCTAGCCTGTTCCCTCAAATTTCTGAGTTGCTGTTCCCGAGCGACTTCATCCCCGGGCTCAGACCCCCTCATCTTCTGGTACTGCCTGTAGATGATGGTCATCGTAGCCAGAAGAACATCAGAAAGAGTCCCAGCGACTTCTGGAGAGACTCGCCTCAAGGCCGTAACTCTCTCGTCCACCTCCCTGACATGAAGAGGAAGTAATTTCGAGTCAGCAATAGTCCTCAAGGCCGTTTGATGCTGTTCGTCGTGGAATTGATCGAAGAACACCATGAGATCTCTCAACGTGTAGAATGCAGCAATTAATTCCGCTGGCACCTGCACAGCAATCCCCTGATATCTCAAGCTGATGTCAGTGGCGATGGCTTGCAATCGACTCCTCAGCGAGCCCTGGGCGTTTTTCTGGCTGACAACCTGTGCCAGCAGTGTGCACATGATCTCAAGGACCTTCTGATGATTTCCAGCAAGATCGTACATAGTGACAGAGTCCTCCAGGAGTCCCTTCCTGTATAAAGTCTCAGCGCAAATATTAATTACATCGTCAGTATTAATCTGGAATTGATCGAGAACACCAGGCAGCCGCCTGTCCCTGTCAATTTTTCCAACGAGAAGAGCTCGATTCTGGGGTGATGCCTCCACCACCATCTCCGCAGCAGAGGCAGCAAACATATTTCTCCCATGAGGATCCTTCATGCATCTCAGTAAAAAGAGATAATGAAGACTCTCCTTGGGGTCTGAGCTCTCGAATCGTTTGACGTAGAGGAGAATTAATCGAGCCAGATTGAGACGTTTAGCAGGGGGTTTGTCAGATGGATCGACGGTTATCAGTGGTGCCAAGACACTCTGGGAAGCTGCCAGGAGACTGTGCTCGTGCATAGCAGCTGCCAGATGAACTGCATGTGGCAGATGCCTGGCTCCAGCTCCTCTAGCCAAAAATTCGACTGCTGCCTCAAATTGTCCAGTCAAAAACAACATTGAGAAGTAGAGGAATGGCTGCTCGTGGGCGTGATAATAACTCTCTCCATAAACCTCCAAAATAGTTGTCTGGAGACTATCGAGAGTGAGTTTATGTTCATTATCGGTTTGCTCCCTGACTTGACAGAGTTTCAGCCACAAATAATCGTCAGCCGTGCAGATTACCTCCGAGTGGAGATCGTCGGGCTCGCAGGGGACGAGGGCGCAGTAAGCCGCTCGTTTAAAAGGATCTGTCGAAGACCTGACGTGTTTTCTGTAATGGAGCTTTACGATGGACTCTCCCCGAGTTGTGGGACGCCTCTGGGAGTCCTTCGAGGCCTCCTCGAGGGCCTGGCGAAACTCCTGGAATGACGAGGAGCACTGGTTCAGGCACTGGAGGGCAGCCGTGAAATCTCCAGCTCTCATACAGTAGTAAATGACAGGCCAAATGGGTCTGTCGTCCACAAGTGCGTCCTCCAGGTCCCTCATGTTCTGAATTCTTATTCCCACGAAGCTCTTCACCAGAGGAGCTGTCCCAGGAATCCCTCCACGCTTCGCCTGCGCCAAATTCTCGTTCACCAATGAATTCATAAAGTCCCTGTACCGATTCTCCAGGTATTTACGAGCCTGCGAGACAATCATCTGCTCGACCTCAGGACTACTTCGTGATTTAATCTGGTCTCCTCGTGGTGTCATGGGGATGCTCACCATCACCTTCACCATATTCCACATATCGAGAATTTTCTTATCGTTGAAGGTTTCAGCAGCTCGAGAGAAAGCTTTGAAGAGACTGGGACGATAGATACCCCTGAGGACGTGATCGTTGTATGTCTGGAGTTCCTTGGCGTAAGCTGTCTCGATGTTCGAAAGACCCGAGACCATCGAGCCTGCTAATTTTGTACGCTGGGGTATACCCCGGAGATCCACCAGCTCACCTGAGGGGGCTGTCATAGCATTTATTATCTCAAAACGCATCTGCTTCCATTCACCGAGCATGTGCTCCATTTGCTGGACTCGGTTAAGCTCAAAGGTATCCTTGTGGACCTGTTCAATAATCGACAAAATGGCATTTTCCTTCTCATTCCTCAAATAACTGACGATATCCGTGTCAGCAATTGGATCTAGAGGCTCGAAGGTCCGTCTGGCACTGAGAGAATTCAGTTTCTGAGAGATCTGGGGCAGATCGACACCTCGGGAGCCCAACAGCAGGTGCCTGATCATTGAGAAGAAATTTTTTATAATAAATCAGAAGGAATGGGAATTAAATTAAATTTATTATCGTTTCTTACGCTTGCACTTGGGTATCCTGTGTGCCACTTTGGGTGACACGAGACCAGAGCTCGTTGGAAGCTTCCAAAATCTGTCTGAGATTTCTCTCGACCTGGGGAAGCTCCCCAGAACCCTCGACAGCGGCGGACAGCTGTTCAGCTGATCTCAGGAGCTCGTTGAAGTCCGAATCACCCATTTTTGCGATTTTCAAACACTAGTCACGTTACAGATCACTTCATAACCTCGAACGAACGCTCAACCCGGCATCACGACAATTCATTTGCCGCCCAAATCATCACCGAAAAAAGTCTCATAAATGGCGCTGCACTCGAATTTTTTAATCCCCCTTTCGAACAGGTTATGTCTCTTGCACGCATTTACAACAGCGTGGGACTTCAGTTCGACAGGAATTTCTAAGTCCAGAATACACACGTGGTTTTGGGTTTTCAGAAGTTTTACTTCAATCAGGTAATTTAGTAGTCAATTACTTCGAACTTGATTCTGAACAAGTACTTCCACTCCAATTATTCACGAAAATCAAAGATAAAAAAAATTATTTGTAATCGTTTACGCGATTATTTTCGGTTGACTTTCATGTAATTTTTTTATCTAGTTTTTATTATTTTTGGAGCATTTACAGTTTAATGTGATAATTTAGATTCATTTCGTGGTAAAATTTTTTGAATTTTAGATGAATTTATTGAATAATTTCAATATTTCAGAATTATTTGGCCGCACCTATTTTATAATTTCCGCGAAATCCGTACCGATACCCCACAATCAATTTTTTACAGATAAAATGGTGAAGAAAGGAAAGAAGAGATCCCTGGAGGTGTCCGAGGCCACGGTGAAGTCCGAGGTGCCTCCTCAGGGTCCCCTGAAGAAACCAAAAATAAAAAAAGAGGAAAAAGCGAATGGTGCCGCCAATGGTACGAAAAAAATCAAGAATAAACCAGCCCCCGAGACCGCTCTCAAGAAGCCAGAGGAAAGTCTAGCCCCCAAGAAAGTCAAGAAGCAGAAGAAACAAATACAGAATCCAGAGAAAATTTCAGAGCCCGAAGAGAAAAAAGATCAGGCCCTGAAGGTTCTCCAAAAAAAACTCGAGGCGAAAAAGAAGAAGAAAGAATTGAGAAAGGAGATGAGAAAGGAGAACGGTCAGTTCAAGCCTGCAAATATCAAATTGACTGCTGATGAGATAAAAATCAGGATCGAAAACTTCGAGAGCAAGGAACAGCTGAGCAGAACCGCTCGGAGGAAACTAGCAGCTCTCAAGAAAAAGCTGAGAATCGAGGAGGGAACGTATACACCTCCATCGGAGCTTCCCAAGACTCCGCAACTCTCGAAAAACTTGAAGAGGAAGATTAGGAGGCATAAAAACGTCATGAAGAGAGCTGAGTTGGCAAGTACTGGGGGCAGTGAGCAGGAGATCACAAAGAAATTGGAGAAGAAGGCTAAGAATGTTGAAAAGCTCGTGAAGGAGGAGCAGAGTAAATTGGTCGGCAAGGCTGCTGTGAAGGTCGAGGGAAAAGGAAAGCTGGTGAAGGAAAAAGGGAAGAAAGCCCTTAAAGCCGAGGCTGAGAGCGACGATGATGATGAGGAGGAAGAGGAGGATGAGAGCGAGGAAGAGGAGGACTCTGAGGCAGTTGACAGCACTTTAAATACTTCACAGGAAGTTGATAGTGAGGACGACGATGATGAGGAAGACGAGGAAAATGAAGAGGACGAAGCAGAGGAAGCTGACAGTACTTTAAATACTTCTCAGGAAGTTAATGATGACGATGACGACGAGGAGGATGACGAGGAAGATGACGAGGATGACGAGAAGAAAGTAGAAATTAAGGGTAAACCTGCAGCTCCCACGCCAGCAGCTAAAAATCCTCAGCAAAAGCAAAATCAAGACAAGAAGACGAGATATGTTCTCTTCATTGGAAATTTACCTTATGCGTACGATCTTATCTTTAATTAAATTTCTCAGTATTAATATTTTCATTGATTAATTAATTCATATTATTTTTTAATAATTGCAGAGCAACAACAGAAGACATCAAGAAGCACTTCCTCACAAAGGTATCGACAGTCTCGAGTGTGCGAATCCCTACAGATGCTAAAACCAACCAACCCCGGGGTTTTGCCTACGTGGAGTTCACGAATAGTGTGGATTATGAGAAGGGCTTGTCTCTTCACGAGTCCAACCTCCTGGGGAGGAGAATTAAAGTGCAGTACAGCCAGCCAGGATCAAAAAGCACTGGGAAAAGGCCCGAAATCGTTGCCAAGAACCAGAAACTCCACGCCATGAGGAAACAGGGACAACTCGCTGGAAGTGTCAAGGACTCCAATAAAAGGAACTTTAGGAGAAATCAAAACAAAAGTCGAGGGTAAATCCCTGGGAGATAAGAGTGCAATTGCTCATTGCATTAATTCGAACAGAACGGAATACATTCTTAATGTAATATTACAGTAGATTAATGTACTGTACATCTTTGACTTTTTTAAGTGATAAATTTGTCAATATGCGACGTTATAAAAATATAATGAATGTCTTATCTGTTAAAAAAATCTCGACTCCAATTATTTACTCCCAAAAACTTTAGTTGCTTGAAAAAAAATTGCCCCAGAGAATTTCTATGAAAATAATTGCAGCGATCAATTGATCTTTCAATTTTCCCCATAATTCGTGAAATTCCCTCTCTGTGTTAATTCCATAAAAAATATATTTTCACTAATTGATATCAAAAGTGAGACTTCGCATGTTTATTTTTACGACTTGAAGACAGCAACTTCGATTATTTGTCACTCGATCCCTTTCTCAATCGTAAATAATGAGATTTATGGTTTATTACACTGGTATTGGTCGAAGTAACTAGAAATTATGAGTAAAAATAAAGTGAAAAAGAAGGGAAAACCCGAGAGGCTAGAATTGTCCTACGAAGATGATTTTTCGTGTGAAAATTTGAGGGAGGAAGAGGTGTCAGCGCCCCTCGTCTTCTCCGAGGAGTTGACTCCTGAAATTCGTGTAAATTTCATTATTCGAAATCACGGATTTTATGTATATTTATTTTTAATGTTTTTAAAAGATAGAGTCATCTCGCAGGATCTTGCGGGGACGGAAGATAAATCGGAATTTCGGGCGGATGTTTATTCGAGGGATGAGGAAGTGAAAATTCTTCAGGATAAACTCAATCAAGTGAACTCTAAGTACCACAAGTGTCAGAATACCTGTCTCTCACTTCGTCATGAGTTAAATAAAACTCAGAAGGTATTTTCATTCCTCGATAAACAAATTTTTTGCATTAAATTAAATTATTTGGGGTTCAGCTCTTGCGCAGTGAAGTAGGAGATAACGTAACGATATCAAGTCTTCTTAATCATCCGGGTGGTTGGAAAGGAAGGGCTGAACAGATTCAGCAGCTCCAGCAGAAGCTTTCTGAGTTGCATCAGAGACTTGGGGAAAAATCGGAGAAATCCGCGAGAAATTCTGCCAGTAATTTAAACCATTGAAATAATCCTTGGATTATTTTGTAATTAAATTGTCTCGTGAAATTTCAGTATCACTCGAGCGTAGAAATTCGTACCGTACAAAAAGCATCGAACGAGACAGAAAAACCCAAATGGAAAATTTGAGCAGAGAACTCCGACAGATGGAAATTGCTCTGGAGAGTAACAAAAAAAAATTGGAAGCTGCAAGAGCGAGAATTAAAGTTCTAGAGAATGAAACGTCAGATTCCAAGCGAAATATCATAATCCTGAACGACCGAAAAATTCACGACGATCAATTGATCGAAGCGTTGAACGTAACTCCTGAATTAATTCGCATATTATTATTAGATTAATTATTAATTTTAGGAATAATAATTATTGATGCCTAGGGACAATTGCGCGCGGTGGAGGATCGGTTCAGGGAGAGAGATTCCGATTCAAAATGTAAAATCGATAAAATCAGTCATGAGTGCTCGATCATGAAGAATGAGGTACAGTCTTCAAGACTTCAGATTGAACAGCTCAGAAAAAAAATATCAGAACGCGAAACCGAAATTCATGCACTCAGGTAAATTCTCGTAATTTCCCTCGAGTGTTTTTCTCTGACTCAAATTAAATTTTGGTTGTGGTATTTTGGAAAAATTATATAGATTAGATCGAGTGAGTCAGGTAAACCCGAATCCCCGGGAGTCAAATGTCTTCGGATGTTCGTCGGAGGCTGCGATAAATCCCCAGGACTCCAATGAATACGTCGTCCTGGGGTTGGCAGCCGAGGCGGAAAGGGAAAGACTTGTGGAAGTGGTGGCTGTTCTAAATCGTCGACTAGATAAAGAAAGGGCGGATGCCGATCATCTGTCCGTGAGTTGTAAAAATTATTTAACTTAATGTGTGATGAATGGTTCGGATTTTTTAGGAATTATTGCGTCGGGAAAAAACTAAAATCATTAAACTGGAGCACAAACTCCAGAAAATTGAAGCTGAAATGGTGGCAAGACCTAGGGTAAATTCCGGGTACAGATCGCGATCATCGAAGTCCCTGACTTCCTCCAAGAGTGAATGGAGTGACGATCAATTCAGGAATAAGTTAAATCTCAGGACTCCACGACGGTTTATTATAAAAAATTAAGTATGAAAAATTAATTATTCGAAACAGATTGGAACTACTGGAGGAGGAGAATTTGGCTGTGAAAGCTCGACTAGCGACTCTACAACAGGAGAAAACAGAAGACTTATCGAGGTACAAACAACTCCTCGAGAATACCAGAAGGATTTTCCACGATTCTCTCAGGTAAACCCTACATTCACACGTTCGTCAGTTCATATCAATGGAGATTTATCTGAAATTCTACAGGGGGAAGATAAGCACAGCGCATTCAACCTTAACAATCTGAATACAAAGAAATGAACAAGACCATTGCAAGAGGAAACCGAGAACTGTTAATTGATCAAACCTTTCATTATACCTTCCGAACCCTCAAGATTATTATTCATGAGTTGATAATTTATCCACGTGACCCTGTGGAGACTAACACTTTTATAATTTTATTTTATACGACATATTTACTCAAGCAAGTTTGCACTCGTATCTCGCAGCTCCTGGGCTGTAAATTCATCTGAGATTCAGAAGATCAACAGAGTCATGACTAAAAAAAAGTTATCTCCGTCTTCCTTTTATTTTCAACGAAATATTTTGAATAAATGGGTCAACTCAGCGTACGTGAATCTTTCTATTGAAGGAGGAAATCCGCGGAAAAATTCTGTCTGCGAAAGATATCGTGATAACGTGATGTGTCAGTGAAATTAAATTCCCGATAATTTTTTACAACTGTGACGAATTGTCGAATTAGCTTGACGAGTGGAGAGAAATAAATGACATAATGCCGAAGAAGTCGTGGTGGAAATTAAACGAAGACTTCCGGTCTCGACACTCATTTCGACACGAGAATAATACAAAAGTCGAGAAAGTCCATCGATTCTCTGTTCCCTCGAGTATTCATCCCATTGTCTCTGCACTAGAAACAATTCTAAACTAAATACGTACGAAACAATATCGTAGGTGCAATACATTGGGCTTTACCAGCAGTTTTGTCTCCACTGTGTGATAAGAAAACGTACCTGTGACGCCACTCGGTCACAGGTATATGAAGCGATGCCGATGCCACGTCCACGTCACTTGTTAGTTAGTTTCCGACAAGTTATTTCACTCGGTTTTTTTCAATTACTCCCATTAGATTCACTCCTCGATTTTCAAAAATTCGTGGGTGGCTAGAGCACGACCTGGAAACCTCCAGGTGACCCTCCGGGGGTGACGGTGAAATTATAAGTGCGACGTAATTGCAGGTAATTGAAGGTTTCGATTTTTTAATTAGTCTTGGTCGGATCACTAGTCGGAATTGATCACGGGAAAATTCGTGGGCTGTTTTAATTGCTGAGGAATTTTTTTGTTGATGTTTTTTAATCGTCGGGAAATTTCGCGGACTGTGAATTTTTTTTTGTGAAAATGGGAAAATTCGGAGGTTTTTGAAAATTTTTTCATGTTTTCGAGGAAAATGGAGGATATTCAATTTGAAAATACGAATTGAGGTTTTTATCAGAAACACCTTGAGATTGTATAAGGAAAGTCTCAGGAATTTAAAGACGTTTTGAAAATCTTTTTTCAACTTAAAATTCAGGTCAACGTGACTCAATTTATTTTTTCACGTTTTTCTCCATTTATAAATAATTCATAATTCCAAAATTTAATAAATAAAAAATAACTCCCAAGATTTATATACAAAAACGTGAATTAAAAAATTCGCGAACTTATTGAATGCGCCAGAAAATCCTTGAACCGAATTTCGCGAATTTCTGAACAAAAAACCGCGAATTTCACGGCGGATGCCTAAAATAATGGAAAAAAAAAATCGAAATTCAATGTACGTTTCATCCTTTCATGTGCAAATTCTCGAGTTACTGTTACGACAACCCGACAAACTGTTTCAATCCTCTTCTTCCCGATGAATTACGTAATGTTTACTCGGGCCAAAGACACTTCGAGTGCTCAAGATGTCGTACAGAGCATCCGATCATTTTTTATTCTCCATTCTCGGTTGTAAGCGAATTTTTAGTACAGGTAGAAACAATTCGGTATTTTTCTCTCGCTTTATTGCGTGGGGGGTTTTACTAGCACGAGGAAATATTTAATTACTTTATCTTCGGTATCTTGAAAATATGATATCTCGTTTCCCCTTTGGCAAACAGGTTACGGATTTTTGGTGGTACCTGAGTCTTATCGAAGTGTCTTATCATATCTCAAAAACGACTGAGAACTGATAACGAATTGCCCCCCTCCCGCCCCCCTCCCACACCTGAGTGCGATGTTGAATTTTTTAAGAAATCGAGGGTGGAATAATTAACGACTCGAACCGGAGGGAACCGTTGTAAAGATAATGAAAAAGTGGAGGACATTTTCGAGAGGAAAAAAAAAGAGAAATGTCAATTTTTTTTTTCTGAACAAACACTGATATCTCGTTGTATCAATAAAGTGATATAATTCCGCTGGAATGAGACGAGTCATGAGCTGTTTCTCTGGAATAAGACGAATAGGCTCTTATCACTCCCACCATTTTCTGTTACCGGTTACTTATAAATTTATGCCGATAGTTAATTGAATTAGAGGAGAAATTGCTGAGAAATCATTTTGAAGGTAAGAATATCGGTTTTTTAATATTCAAAATGAAATTTCAATGTCGAAATATCCAAGAAATGAAAACAAAATTTGTTTGGACTATCTGACAACTTTTCCAATGAACAATTTACCCGAATGAAAATTAAAATTTTCAGGGCGTAATTTTAATCAATTGTGGAGGATTAAGAGAAAGGGCGAAAAATCATTGCGCCAAATGTGAAAATGGGATATTTTTCATTGAAGAAGAGAGGACTGATGTAATTTTTTAGAATATTGAGGATCGATTTTTTTTTATCCCCCGAGTTTAATGAAATCGAGCAGAATATTAGAAACGAGTGCAACTTAGTATTCTCGACACAGGTGAAAATATCATCTGATCAAACAAAAGATGCCAGGATATAACTCAATGTTTCCAAGCCAACACTTGTGTATATGCCAGACATGGGCGATTCGTTTGTTCAGGCATTAGGAGCAACACGATAATCGAGCACTGTTGAAACGAATTTAACGAGTTCTTGATCTTACGTAAAGTCTCCCTTACCCCTACTTCGAATCTTTAGGACTTGGGTGGAGGCAGACTCCAGGGATTGGACGCCCTAACCAGACACCTCGTGGAGCTCCTGCAAGAGTGTTACTTCGTGGGAAAGACTCGAGCACTAAGGTACAACTCTCAGTAAGTTTTCCTCAATCCTGTCCATTCGAGTCACCAGGATTCAAGAAGTAAATCGCGAAAACTTCATCCCCGGGAATATCTCTGGATATACGGCAGATACAGAATTTTTCATTGATAACTCTTTTGCAGAACGTAATTAGAGCTGCAAAAAAGGTGTCTACTAAAATTTCGATATCTCTTTTAGATTTGGAGATATTCTGAGAAAAATTACCGATTTCAGAAATCGACCGGGGGAATTCTTATCGAAGCAATTGTAATTTTAATTGGTGTTGTAATTGCAATTGATAATTGAGTGAGATTTTTTTGTGGTTGATGTTTCGGTTTTATGATAAGGGTGGAATAATTGCCGGGGTGATTAATTGACTTTCAATCTCAATTTTTGACCGTTTTTTTTTTTCATTTTTCGCTATATTTCTGAGTGATTTTCTTGGAGAATACCTGATAAGCAGTAATATGGAACACAAGTGTCGGCACCGGTAAGTGATGTTTACCGCGCAATCAGTTGAACGCTAAACGAAAGAGGCGGCTCACACCATTGCGATAACGAGGAAAATACCGAGTGCAGCTTTGCCCCAGTAAATTCACCTCCATTCTTCCTCAAAAGTGGAGAAAAAAAAAATCTAAACACCTGGAGCCAAAAGAATATTGAGAAAATCCCACGAGTTAAATCCCCTCAAACTTCCAATTCCAATTCCAATTATCATTACAATTACCGCGAATTGCTGATAAAGTCAGTTTTTTATGACAAAAAAATATTTTTCCCCAACACCAAACGATTTTTCTCCCGAATAAAAATTAAATCAATATTACTGTGAATTAGACGAATTCTTAACAAATGAATTTAAGGGGTCTATTGATTGATGGGAATTTTATAATTATGAATTGTTATTGTGGAAATGAAAAATTATGAATTTTAGGGATAATTGATTGATGAGGTATTTATAATTTTTCGTAGTTCAATCGAGATGAGAATGGAGTAAAGGCTTTCGCTATGAAGAGAGCTATCCATCGACAGTATGGTAATAATGACACTGTCATGGAGTTGCTCTCTTTGTGGATGTGGCCGAAATCATCAGAAGAATTGAAAATCAATGCTCAACGACTGGTGCAACCTGTTGCACATTTTCTCGCCTCGGGTTGAACAAACCCATTTGCAACGAGGAGTGCACCAACTGCATTGCAGGCCTACATCACGTTTAGTATTATTCGCCATGAACTCCAAACACCATAAAACAGTTCTCCTTTCTTACACTCCAGAGCACGTACTTCAATTATGAAAAAAAAATGTCCGATTCTCTTATGCCGCCATTTGTCAATTATCAGTGAGTGTTATTGCATCTGTGATAAGGGCAATTGAATTTTTAATCCACTAGGGATTTATCTGTGATATTATTTGGAAATTTTCTATTGGGGAGCTCAAGCTCTGGAGTTAGTGAAGTCATTCCCAGTGTTGCCTTTTTTTTTTTAGTAATTTCGCGTTTTTTTATGATTTGTTGAGGAAATTTATGTAATTTCATTATCAGTGCGTGTTGGTTCATTCGTTATTATGCAAATTTGTATTATGTGGTTTATGATTTTGCAATTGTGTGAATTGCAGTCGGCACCAGACAGCAAATAGGGGATTTGAGAGCGAGTTGATTTCATTGTCGAGATAAGAATCGGTAATGGGATTAATTATTTTCTCGAGAGTGAGTTTAATTATTCGATTATTTTGTTTTGCGGGATTTTTTAGAGTTCGCGGATTCAATTGACGGTAGAATTTTGAGAGTATTCATTGAATTTTGGATTCACTTAAATTAATGGAAATGAATGAAGAAATTTTACGATAAATTCCAATTCGAATTCAGCATTCTCCTCAATTATCGATTTATCTCGAGTACCATCAATTCAAAGTAAAAAAATATACTATAATATTTTCTACCAAACCCAATAGTCATTAAAAACTCATCTGGAATTTGTAAAGTAATTTAAAAATGAAGACAACTGAATTCTCATTAGATTTTTTCCCATACGTGACTCCCCTATCCCGTCTAGGTGTACAAATGAGAAATCTCCAAATATCGTAATTTTTTTCTGAAGTGCACGTAAACCCCTGCCTATCAGTCTCCATTTGCAGTTGTCTGAGGGAAATAAAGATAGCAGTGCAAATGACGAGGCCCCAACGTGTCTCATCATTCCTCGAAACTTCACACATTTTTTTAAAATGAATTGAAACCTCAAGAGTGACTGCAATCGAAGATAATGATTCACCGAGAACAAACGAAAAAGTATTCCCACTTCTGAGATTTTTCCCGTTTATTTCCACAACGAAGTAACAATTGTGGAGCGATAAGCGCCTTGTCTAGGTGTCTAGGTGTGATTTTTCAAAGGAAAAAAAAAATATTAATGGAAAGACGACTGTTTTCACATAACTGACAAATATGTCACCTGGTGATGGGACTGAATGGACATCGTCCTTGCGGTTTTCAGTCGAAAGCAAACATATTTTACTCCGGAGTATTGCAAAGAGTTTTCTACATAACACCATTTGTATTTTTTTTACTCACCAATTTTACTGCCCTGTTGATGTGTCCTTTCCTCGCCACAACTATGAATATTCACACTTTTTCTTTCACTCTTCACATTTTCACCACTTTTCACCACTTTTCACCACTTTTTCACCACTTTTTCACCACTTTCATTTATATTTCAAACTTCTAACAATAATAAAACACTAATCTGGGAAAATAACGATGAAATTAAAGCAATTTGTAAAACACTTCTCACTGAAAAATCTCTAGAAAAATTACAATACGAGAGAAATCATACCATTTAATTAAAAATTATGATAATTATTATGTTGATAAAAAATTGATCTGGATAGTGATGCATCTAAATAAAGAAAAAACTTATCTAGTATTGTAATTTTTTCGGAGAATTCTTTTCGTCTGCACCATTGTCCAAATTTTCGACATGTTTGTTCACGTTGGGATAAATCAAATAGATTGATCTGAATGGAGGATTGATCACTCGAAAAAAGAAAACACCTTTTCACAGACCGAAAAACTTGTTCAAACAGTGAATAATATTTAGAAACGATGAATAAAAATCGAGGGACGCGACTTTGAAATTCTCTCCCTCCATACCGTACCCTTGAAATCCTTTGTTCTCCCGTTTCCCTCCATTTTCATCCGCCGCCTGGTGATAACTTGACTAATTAATTCAAAATCGGATGATGCAAGAGTCAAATCAACTGTTCGAATCAAATCAACCGAAATCGATTCAAATACGCATACCCCACGTCATGAACGTTCACATGAGAACGCATCCGTCGGCATCCATAACATTTTTTACATGCTCTCCGCCATGACACTTGCCAGTCCATGTTTTTTTTCTAAAGGAAACACTAAACTACCTGTCAGCGCCAGGAGATGTTCCAAAACGTCGAGATAATATTTTTATTACAATTATTTTGATCCATTCAATTATTTATACAACTAAAAAAATGTCGAAAGCTGATGCATCGAAAGACGACGAGGAGTACTGGAACAGCAGTGAAAAACATTCATTCAGTTTTGATCAGAATACAGAGGTAATCCAATTAATTAATAAAAATTGGGTTAACGACGCGTGTGGTATTGTCACCAGGTGGACAATTTGTTCGGCATCTCCAAGAGTGGTACAGCCCAGCTGAAAGCAGGAATTTCAAATATTGAAGTATCTGAGGAATATTTCAACTTCGATAATGTGACATCGGACTCAAGGCCATTGCTATCTGTCATTTCTGAGCCAACATTTACAGCAATTCTCAAAGCCGACAATGGGTTCTCAGAGGTGCTCCCAGAGGAAACCCCAGCGGTGGACCCCACGAAAACCCTTCGTAGGGTTCTCCTGGGCCAGCCATTTTCCCTCGAGGAATACAAATCCCTGGTCGACAAGAAATCCCTCCTGGACGCAGCCATCGCCTCTGGAAATGGTGACGCAATCCTGATAGTCGTCCTCTTCGTCACAAAGACCTTGAAACCAGCCCTGGCTCAACGACTCCTGATGGAGAGGCCCGATGCCATGAATGTCTACGTCCACTACCTCTCGACTCGACTGATGCTTAATGAGATCACTGATTTGCTGTCAATGCAGGGACGGCCCATCGATGCAGCCATGACCAATCTCAATGTCATTATCAGGAACACGAGGGACGAGACCAGGTTACTCCAGAAGCTGATGAAATGTTACAAGACTCAGTTCGTATCTTCTCCAGAGTGCAGGGAGACTCCTTTCGTTCAGAATTATATAAGACTCCTGGAGTGGAAAGGGGCACTGAGGAACACGAAGTTCCACGAGGAATTTGATCCAGACTCTTCAGTTCTCGATTGTCTGAGGTATTCGTGCAGAGATCACTGGGGAGCCTCTGAGGGCACTCTCGTGGCACCTGAAATGCTTCTTCATCAACACGAAATCACCCCCAGACAGTACCAAAAGGTCGCCCTCGAGTCCAGGGTGGCTGTCAAGGCTTGGGAAGATATTCACAATCTTCTTTTGTCGAAGGTATTTTTTTAATGTCAATAAATTATTATTAATAATTGTGTATGTTATTAATTCAGGGTGGGCTTGTCGTTGAAGTTAATCAAAATTAATCAATATTTATTTATCTATTTTTTGTGTGGGTCGAAGAAGGCCAGATCGGATCACTGGTGATGGGAAAGAAAGAAATCGTCGTCTGTCTGACTTTTGTTAGCTCATAACAGGTTGTAGAGTTAATGAGTAAATCTTCATGCGGGTAATTGCTTATTAGTTAGAGGCACGGAATATGTGGAAATTCCAATTGTTCATTGGTGGGACATTCGTAAGTGTGGAGATTAGAATTTTTGCATAATTCTCCATTTTCCGTTGGGTAATTACGCGTTGTAAGTATTTTAAAATAATTTTTAGCTTTTCCCCGCAGATGATGTTGACGCGCTGAAATTCCCTGAAAAGTAGAAATAAAAAAAAATTCAGGTGTGGATTGCATAAAAATTGATCCGTGACCTTTAAGGGGAAGTGATTTTTATTTAACATCGAGCCAATTAAATTATATAATAAATATATTTCCAGGGGTGGATGGGGAGTGAAAAATTGCAAACAAATCTTCCAATTGAGGATATATTAAAAATTCTCCATAAAGGAGAAGCACCAACAGCCGTTTTAGATAAATTCCTGAGATACGTCGATCCTGTCGAGAGGAGATTGCACCTCGCAAAGGCATTTTCATGCCCTAAGACAGTTATCGAGGTAATGAAAAAAATCATACCCTACAAAAAAATGTATACATCCTTAAAATTGATTTTTCGATGGGAGAAAGTTTAAAAAATATAACAATGAATTACTTTCTCTCTGCAGATCTTGGGAACTCAAGGAGATCGAACGTCCCTTTTAGAATATCGAGACACCCTGATCCCCCAATCAGAAGCTTTTTTCCTCGCCAAGCGCACCCTCTCTTCTCCCACAATCCGTTGGAAATCGTAAATCAAATGGAACTTCTCGTCTAGAGAACGTAATTGTTTTAAAAAAATAATCAATAAAATAGATTTTAATAAACCGATCTTTTCTTTCAACAGGATTGACCAATAAGAGAAAACTCATTATCTTTTGAAAACTGCATCTTTATTTTTGCATAGAAAATGTAACAAAACGTGATGTTAATAAAGTAATTTAGTCATATAATGAAAAAAAAAACGATGCATGTACCTAAACGATACCAAATTCCTCTCAAAGAACTCCAGTTTCTTCATACTTCGCATAAAAAAAACACATGAGCCTGAGTATACGATTAGCCGAGTGAGTGATCTGCATAAAAAAAATAGCAAAAGAATAACCAGGAAAATGGGAAGACGCGTTTCAATTACAATTCCAACATAAGCCAAAACTTGACAGCCTCTGACTCGCAAAAAATTCTCGACAAAAAATTCTCATCCTCCCCCGCCCCAAACATGCCCCAAAGCAGATCGAACACGAGTGTAATTCAATTACACTTAATTCACAATATTTCCAATCATTTGAATTTTGATTCCGTTCTCAACCCCTCGATCTCAAAAAAACTGTTCAAAAACTCATTTTGAAGATGATAATAACTCCCAGGAAAAAAAAAATCTAATCAAGAATTCGCCGACGGCTGATACGTCAAGATCTCAAATCTTCCCATTCCCCTCGCCAGGATGACCTTACGAGCTGGTGGGTGGTCGGTTCCCCATGTTAGGAGGTGGTTGAGTAACAGGAACTTGATAAGGAACGAAACCCGGAGGCCCCTGTGGCACAGGGTACCAGTTCTCCTGTCCCCCAGCAGGATTAACTCCAGTATAAACCCCAGGAGGTGGATAAACATACTGAGGATACATGGGTGACATCGGTGGTTGAAAATTCTCCACTCCAGTGCAAACGTAATTTCCCCCCGGGTTCTCAGGTGGTTCCTGAGGAGGGATGAATCCCACAGGATAAAAATTACCACTGGGTGGATAATACTGTCCCTCATTAGTATAATAGACATCATTGTACACCGGCTGCTGCTGATATCCCTGAAATTGATTTCCCATGTGTGGAGATCCCTGAATACCCACTGGAACATTGATATTTCCAGGAATATTTCCAGGAGCATTTCCAGGAGTATTTCCAGAATTTCCAGGCGCATTACCAGGGATCTGATCCCCCTGAGCTCTTCTAAAAGCATGTCCCTCCCTCTTCTGATAATCCTGAAATGAATTCCTCTCAAATCCACGTCCACGTCCATCATTTTTCTTATTATTCCCCCCATTATTAAATCGATTCCCATTCTTCCTGTCCCTCCCATCCTTATCCTCTCCATATTGTCCCTTATTCTTCTGATAATCGTACGAATTCCCTCCACTCTCCCTCGGAAATCCCTGATCCTTCCTGGAATAATTCCCCCGATAACTTCCACGACTGTCAGAGCTCATTCCAGAATTTCTCCCAGAGTTACCCTGATCCCTCCCCTGATCTCTCCCAGGATCCCTCCTCTGGTCGTTCCTCAGATCCCCCTGATCTCTCCTCTTCCCCTGAAAATTACCACCCCTGAAATTATCCTCCTCCCTTCTGGGTTGTGTCTGAAGATTCTGTGGGGGTTCAGCAGCAACAGCAGGTGACACCAGTGGTACAACACCACTGGGAACATATGACACTGATGAGGATGGATAAGGAACTGAACCTGAGGGCCATATATGGCCACACCTGAAGAACTCAATTCCCAAATTGTAAAAAAATCTCAGTGTCACTGGGTCTGAGTAAGGAAGATCAGCACCATTGATATCAGTGCTGACTCCTGCAGTGATATTTATCGGTCGAAATGGTCTCTCCTGACCAGGGGGTGGCTCCTGTCCATAGTACTGCACTGGATACATCCCTTCGGAGGATACACACATGACACTGGGTGCTGTGGGGTAAATTGGTGGCATCGTTTGTGATTGAGTGTAGTATGGCTCCTGATGGGGAGGTAGGGGGGATGGCTGGGTCGTGTGCATGGGGTGTATCAGCCCTGGAGGAGGATTCATCACCTCATTCATTTGTCCCTGGTGACTCATCACATGAATCTGTCCCTGAATCTGACCTGGCATCTGACCTTGAATTTGTCCCTGCACCTGGCCCTGAGTTTTATCATAATTATCCAAGTTAACGTTGTTGTTGGTGACCATTGGATTATTATTATTCATCATCTGAGTGTTATTATTCCCTGGTGACACTGATGACTTGACAATATCCTCTTTCTCCATTCTGGGATCGTTGGGAGTCATCAGGGGCTGAGCGTTATCCAGGACTATCGAGACTGGTCGCACCTCCACATTATTAACGAAATTATTCTTGTGGTAATTGTCGACCGACGTGAAAGGCTTGAGAATCACCGTGGGATTCTGGTAGCTGTCCCAGGACTGATTGGACCTCTTCGAGTCCTCGTTGTTGTTCATGGAGTCCATGGCGTATTCCTTGGGTTTTCTTGCCGACTGGGTCCACTTGTTTCTATATTTGTGGGAGTGATCGTGGGATACGTTTTTTCGAGGACTGATTACTCCCAGTGGCAATTGGGGTTTGTGAGTCGCCAGGAGAGGCTTCAGGGACTTGAAGGGAACACTTTTTTTCTCACCCAGTTCCTCGATGTACACCAGCACTGGACCCTCGTCCTTGCTCATCTCCTGGATGTGACCTTTCAGGAGAGGTGGAGCTTTCTTCGTTGAGTCGTGAGTTACGATGGATTCGTGGCTCTTGTTATTGTTGGGCTCGTCACTCGTCACGTTTAACTCCTTCATCTCATTTGTCTCCAGCTGGACGAGACACCTCGCTCCTATCTGCAGCTCTGAGTCATTCCAGCGGGTCCAGCCAGTGCAGCGAACTTCCTTACGAAGCTCATGCCAAATGTCTAGGTCGATGTTGCGGTAGATGTTCGGGTCCAGGGCCTTGGCAATTCGATATGGAAATGGTGCCTTCTCTTGTCTCTTCTGGGAGGACTCCAGGTCGTCTGCCTCTATCTTCGTGTCCGTCTTCGTTTCCATCTTCGTGTCCATCTTGGTGCGCAATTCGGCTGCCAATTGGTCTCGCTGCTCCAGATTACTCTTCAGAAAGAAGTTGGCGTGTCTCATGCTCGGGGCTCGCTCGTGCAACATATTCTGGACCACCTCATCAATTCCCGACATGCCGAAGACGTCTTTATAGAGAGTGCGGTACATCAGTGCTAGGAGAAAGGATATCATCAGATTTTTGGGTTAATCTAAAGGTTTATGAATTTTTAGTGGTCGTGGGGTTTGAAAGAGTTGGAACGAATTAACGATTTTTTTTTTCATGAAGAAAAGGAGATCCAGAGTGCAGACGAAATATTTACATTGGCAGAAAGCTGCGGTGGAAACGACCTCTTTCACGAAAACACTCTCGAAGACCTTCGGCCCCATTTGGCAGAGGTAGATAAATTCCTTGAAACCGTTGTCTGTTGCCTGGTATCGCTCCAACTTCGAGGCATTGAACACCACAAAATCTCGTTTGTAGAGATGTGCCATTGCCTGTATCTCAATATTGCCTCCCCATTCCGTGACACAGGAGAGTTGATCCAAGTAATTATCAAAAGGAACTTTCACATTCTGATGGAACAAATTCCAAATTAAATAAATTCATTCACAAGTGCAATTAATTGATAATATGATTTCGAGACATGCTTCTGAATCCAAAAGAGGTGCGATATTTTTGTAATGGCATTTTTTGTTTTGGTCATCTCATTCTTCAAAACAAGTCCTGGAAGAAAATTTATCTATCTCCCCTGAATACCGATAAATTTATTTTCAAATTCAAAACCTCCGCATCAATAAAATCACAAAATCGTGTCGAAAGAGCCATAAACACCAGAATTCGATCGATAACGTATTTAATCGTAATTAAGAACATGGCGAATCGATGAAATTCACCGGTGAAAAATACCCACGTGCTCTGAAAATTCGATAATTACCTCTTCAAACAGCTCCTTGTTCTTCCTCATAAATCCCACACACTGCTCCCTAACTTTAAGATGATAATACTGAGTCAAATAAATCTGCTCACTGACAGCCCTAAAGAGACAAGTTGCATCGTGTGGTGCATTTTTTCGGAAATATCCCTCAGTCCTGAGCCAATCGTCCACCGGCTCCGACGCCCTTTTAGCTCCACTACGAGGTGAAATGTTCATTTTCCCTACCTCCTGGAAAATTCCCCAATGTCACGAGGAAAAAATCGTTATAAAAAAAAAGCGAGATCACCGATCGAGACTCAAAAACTATCGAAACGATTGAGACATCAATTTTTCCCTCCATTATTCCACGAGATCTCTGTCCCGGTCAGTTCTTATTTCGTCGAGATGGAGTGACTCAATGTCGCCATTTCATCAGTTATTAATTATTCGGTGTTAATAATCAACTCACCCCTTCGGTCGGATGCACGCGTCCAATTTTGATGAGAGTCTCTCGTCGTGTAAACAGAATTTTTGTCCCAGTCAAGGACAACTGTGTCGGTGATAAAGACAACAAAGGAAGTGTTGACTGTTTCAAGTGTTTTTGTGAACTGATTTTCATCGGAAAGTTTCAGTCATCCCGGGGAATTCAACGTTCGGAGAATTTTGAAGGTTTGTACCAACCTGGAGAAACTAAACTCGTCTCTCTTTTTTTTTCTCATTCTCCCTTCAGTCAATGCACCATTGTTCTCTTCAAAATCAGTGGCCAACGGACGATTCATGAATTTTTTACTCAAAATCCACCAACAGTAATGCTTTCCCAACAACGACTTGACAATTCGCGATATCACGACAGTAATGTGAGTGCGATTGTAATTTTAATTAATTAATGGTGTGTTGAATGCGTTAAATAATTGACGAATATTCGTGGTCAAGTGGCGGGACGTGATGATTATCATTTTCTGGAGGACTTGTGAATTTTCTATTCATTTAGAGTACTCTCTCTTTATTTCCCGCGAGAGCAGATAATGGAGTAATTATTGGTGAGATTGATTGTTCATTTGTTATTCTATTATTTATTCATGACGAGTCACCATTCGACCACGGATTATTATTTATTTCCATACAAAGATGTTTTTTTCTCATTTATTCATCGAAATTACTTCATTAGGACAATATGCAGTGCATAAAAAATTGTTAAAAAAGTACAATAGCCCGTTATATAAAATATGAAATTCTTACAAAAGTATATCAACCTTCTACCGATCAAATACATCTGTAAACGCATGTAAAATTACGCCGTTCCAGTCGTTCATCGATTACGATATCAAAATGTTTATTTTTATCGTGATAGAAGTATGAGAAATTTACGCGGAGAGGGAAGAACTCAGTACGACACTGCGAATTTAAACGAGATCAGTGTCTCAAAAACTCGAGTCGGTTTTTCGCGAGTTCCGGAGAATAGACACAAATTAGCGCAATTTACATAGAACCTTTTTTGTAGGTCTTTGAATTTCTTACAAAAAAGTTTTCTATAAAAATTTCGCTATCTCCATGTGATTCCGAGATATCCACCAATTTCCCCTGGAGTTGAACTAATTTATCACAACTGCATTTATTTCTCACGTTCATTGTAAGGAAATATCTCGAAACTGATAAGAGATAGCGAAATTCTCGTAGGGACTTTTTTGCAGGTCTTGAAATTCTCTACAAAAAAGTTCCAATATAAATTCCTGTATATCCGTTTCCGGTCGAGATATTCGTCATAAACGAATCTAGTCTGGGTTTGATGCTCGTTTTACTCCACAGGGTACTGAAATGACCTTATAAATTTAATTTCCTGCGCATTTGTAGTACTGAATGATTTGAGAAGACCCTGGGATTCATGTAATAATACGCAGATCCATTAAATTGCACCAATTCCGTTGGATAAATACTGGCCATAGGGCAGATTTTCGACAGCCTTTCTTTTGCAGTGACAGCTAACTTTCATGTTCTCTTCCTTTCCTGATTGAAAAACCTCTGAATCCTTTTTGTTCATCATTAATAAGCGAATTTAAATAATTCCACCGACACTTTTGTCCCCGTCGTGGTGTTTACTAACGCTCAAACGCGATTTTCATTCTCTCGCATTAAATTTTGCATGTGGTAACGTATTGGTAAATCATTAAGACGTTAGATAATTGAAAAGAAATATGAAAATGTCGGGCAAACGCTTCGATGATTCTTAATACAATGGTGGAACGTTTAAGCTGCTATTTTCTCGGCGGCGATGGCTGAAAAAAAAACATTCCATCGTTAATAACGGGTTATCCTCTCTAAAACCCGACGTTAAATGAAAATCATTCGTTCATCTAGTTATTCTTAAAAACTGTCGACTTCCACCTAGCGAGTTCTCGAATCGATTAAATTGATTGAATAATTGCCATTCAATTGAAATAAATTGCTCACCCTCTTTGGTTGGCAAGGGATTTTTCTCCAGTGTCTCAGCATGTTTCAGCTGGGCTGGATCGAAGTTCTCGATCCCGGAAATGAACTGCTGCTTTCCCTTCTCCTGCTCGATAGCTAAAACCCGACCATTAAAAAACCATTAAGAAAAAAAAAATCCACTAAAAACGGTTTCACGGGTTAATGACTCACCGGTCTTGTCTGGCAGGGGGTTCTTCTCCTCAGTTTTTGTGTGCTTCAGTTTGGTCGTATCAAAAGCCTCAATACCAGAGAGCAAAGTCTGCTGCGTCTTCTCAGCAGCAACATCTATCAAAATCCCCCAATCGACAAATTAATTATTATCAATTTCAAATAATTTAATTCAACGTCTCAGTGAGGAGCACAAAAGTCATCGATGGGAGTATAAAAAGGGGAAATTCTTTCGTGTTCCTCCCGAAATTCCGTTGATTTAATCACTGATGAATAATTAATAAATCCAGTAAGCACCAACACCACTACCACCGGAGACAAATGACCCACTGGACCAGACTGATTAATTAAATTAGCAATTCATCGGTATAAAATTTTATACTATAAATAAACCGTTAACCCCAGAGTTAAATCCTGAAAGATAAAATAATATCTCGCCGGTGGTGACTTGTACCTGTTGCATTTGGTAATACAATTTTTTCTTTTGTATCTGCGTGCTTCAATTTTCCTGCTTTAAACGTCTCCACGTCGTGAATCAAGTCTGAATGCTGTCGTTCCTGTCGTACGTCTGTTATATTACAGATGAGATAAAATCATAAAATGACTAATTGGGATGTGGGGAAATAAAATGGGATGGGGTAATTTTCGTAATTTACCTTCGGCTGATGGTAGGACATCTTTGACGATGGTTGGGGCTTTCTTCATGTTGTCGTGTTTGAAGCCCTCGAGTTCGCTCTTCAGGTCCAGGGAGACCTTTGGGAGGTCCTTCAACGATGGGCTCACCGGGTTCGACATTTCTTTTGATTAATCTGAAATTTTTGCCACGGGGAATTTTAGGATGGATTTTTACGGATGATTGGTACGTTGAAAACAACGGGCTATCGATTTACGACGAATCGTTCGATTTTGGAATTTGATTTTTGGATAAATTCTCCTGGAATAATTCCCGGAAATTCCAGGAAATTCTAGGAAGTCAAGGAAATTCCTGGAACTCGTGGAATTTTCATTTCCAATGGTCGTATATCCTTTGAAAACGAATTAGAAATATTTTTTTGGAATTCGAGTAATTTTTTGAACGGCGCAGCAATAATCATCGGGATGAATATTGAACGGGGAAAAATTGCCGGGAAATTCTTTAGAAAATCCGCGATATCGCAGGCTTGAGTTATATCCTAGGAACAATCGTGTTACAAGGAAGAGCCAAAGGGAAGTCCGAGGCCGCAAAATTCCGGACGAGTAACGGCACCCGCCCGCGACTTGCTCGGTGGGTAGAAGTTGCATTTCCGTCTCTCTTCAATTCCCTCAATTCCCCTCTTCAATTCCCTCAATTCCCTCCACACATGCCAATTTTTTACCCTCACAGGACGAGTACATTGTCCGTAACGGAGCGTCTCAGCCTCAAAATTCAATATTCCATTTCTCCCTCGAACCCCCAACAGATCACATTTCACCAAATATCTCACAATCCAAAACCGATACCAAAATTTTCATCCCTACCATTCCTCTAGATCTCATCACCCCCTACAAAATCTATAATGACAAAAATTTCGCTATCTCTATTAGATCCCGAGATATTCCCCGATAAATCGACTAATCACATTAATTCCTGAATTTCGTAAATCATTCCCTTTTAATGAGTCAATATTTCTCCAACTCTTGACAGAAATCAAATGATTTCGTTATCTCATTCCAATGGCTGAATGAAAAAATCAATTGAAAGAATTTTAATTAAATAAAATAATCGCGAATATTTTTTGCTTAATTCTCGTGTCGTCATTAATAATGAAAATATTTTCTCGTGGAAACGTGAGGATTTTTGGCAGATGATAAGTATATATCGGAAGCCACAGTTGCTTAAGTGTACTTGAAGAATGAAAATGGAAATAGATAAAGGTCTGAATCAGTGAGCGGAAGTACAATGTCGGCTCGTGGCTTCCTGTCACACTCCAGTGGTTCTCCCTTGCCAATTTTTTTTTTGCTTTTCAATCTGTCATCCTTGACTGCCAAAGATTCCAGTGCTCTTTGACACATTGTGATCGGATTCCTATGGGACGGGTATAAAAGCAAGAGCTCGGGGCTTCGGACCAGAGCCACCAGTCGTGGCCTTATAAGGATTGCGACTGTATGCCTCTTTATAGAAAATACGAAAGAGGTCGAACATCTCGCATGAATACCCACTTTCCAGTGTACCGAGTACTTGCAGATTACTCGAGGTTTAATCATTCTCATTACTCATTTCATTAATAATTTTTTTCTGCACAGACAAATCCGCGATATAAAAAAATAACGCGAATCTTGAATCCAAAAATTCCAACATTTTCACTGGATTTTTACCGAAAAATTATTGAGTCCATTATTTTATTTGAGTACTTGTCTGAGATTTAGGATGTGAGTGGGACGATTGTTTAAAATATTTTTATATTTTATTACTCAATTTTTGGGGATTTCAATGGTTATATGTCTAAAGATGAAAAAAATCGAAATAGAATTGCAAAAAAATGTCTCTTCGGCACTTGACTGCGGAATTGTCAGCAAAACTGATCTAAGTAGTCAGCAGTGACTGGATAAGGTAACTGGGGCATGTAAGATCGACAGACTGAAGAGTGTTGCCTTGAAAAAAAAAAAATAAATCACAGATTGATCACAGGTGTACCCCGAGTGCAGTAAAAAAACGCGATATCACATGAAAACAGTAATCATCAATTACTGAATGAACAGTAATCTAGAAAATCCTCAGACTGAGAAGTAAGACAAAAAATAGGATTAATTAACTCGTTTAATGGGTCTGAGTGGCACGCAGACCCAGTGGCACGCGTCTATTACGAAATAACGAGTGAGCAATTGTGAATACTCCAATCTATTCTTTAATGCAACTTGAATTTAACGTTAACTAACGTATCACAACTTTCCGTGTGACCGTGACGGTTAACGAACCCGTCGAGGGGAAGTCCTGGGTATTTATTGACCGGTTGGACGAATCCAGCGATTCGCTTCACTTGCAGACCCTCCAAAACCCCTAGTACCGAAATTTTTCCCAATATCCAATCAATCAAGCGAATTAAAATGCAATTAAAAAATTTACCTCTTAATTTGAATTAGAAATCAATTTTTTAATAATTTTTTAATTTTTGTTCTACCCGGAATTCAAGGAATTTACATTTTATTGTTGTTAAATAATTTCGGTATTTTAATGTTGATGAGCAATAATATTGGGAAATTTAGTCTATAATCCTTTTCTTCATGAAAAAGGGAGATTTGAGGTTTTTTAATTGTTTATTTAATATGCAATGAATTGGTGGATTGAAGGGACCAATGAAAAGTCTATGGAGATGTGCGTGGACCAATCGCAGGCCCCAGTGAGTGAACATCGATTTTACTGAAGGGCTCTTCTCCCCTGGGGTGTTGTCAGCTCGAACTCGCAATTTTTTTTCCCCTACATCTGCGAGAATCCGCGATTTCATGGTCACGGATGCGTCACTGCCAGGAGGCAAGGTCGACTGTTATTTTTCCCTCGTCAACGAAAATAAATTCACCAGCGAGAATTCCTCATTTAGAATGAAAACAACGATAACGTATCATCCATTGACTCGATACCAGTCCCGACAGCAAATACCTCGGCAAATAAAATCAATCCTCCAATTGCAATTCCTCAATTCTCCATCCATCTTTCGTTTCACTCTCTCTATCGCATTCTTATAAATTTTATAATTTCCCCTCAAATTCTGTCAACAACACGTGATAATTTTTCAATTTAAACTCCAATTAAATTTACAAAATTATATAATAAGTATAATAAATAATGGAATCGATGTATGATAAAATAATCGATTTTAATTCGTGAATTCTAGTCCCCCGATTCCTAAAAAAATCGTGGATTCCCGAAATTCCTGCGTGGCATTCCTGTTATCATATTCTCGTGAATAAAATATTCTTTGAAATTGAATTAACAACGCATTGTCTTCAGAATGAAAGCGTCACGGTTGAAAAAATAAACTTGAATGAAACAATGATGCCTCAGGAGTAATTTCCCCCTCACTCGGATGATTTTTCCAAAGACAAAGCGGTACACGTGCTCAACGAGACTGCACTGATGATATTTTTAGATTTGAGAATGAATTTAACATTCCAGTTCACGGTCTATCAAAAAAACCACGCCCTTGTCGCTCCTGTCCTCAGTCTCCACAACCCTCACTCTCATCACCTGCCCCCCCACCAATTTAAATCCAAAATGTCGTTGAATCCCCAGTCATTGCATCGAATTATCCAGTCCTCCACCGACCGAAAGTCCCCGACTTCATTTATCTATTGAAAATTAATGCCCAAGGACGAGCGAAGAAAATAGCAAATTCCTACGCGATGATTCAAGCCCAGAGGATGAATGACTCCTTGTACTGATGATAATCTATCAATTACCAAAATAATTCACTCAATCAATCAAAATAAATTCCGGAAAATGCGCAGATCGATAAAGCACTTGAATTCACTGTAAATTCCCCAGAGCAAATGCTAATTTTCCCCTTGTCTCATCCCTATCTCCCTAACAACAAGTTTCTGAAAAAATCCTCATCCACCTTTATCATCAAAAATTTCTCGCTCTACAAAAAATTCAAATAACATTTTCCCCTAAATCCCGCGAGTAACGAGTTATCTCGATAATAAAAATGAAAAAAAAATGGGAGCAAGGGATTTAAATGTCCAGTGTTGAATTAAAACAGAGTTTTAAATGTCCAGTGATGTTTACACCTCTGAGGAAGTGATTAGAGATGATGAGAACCGGTAAAAGGAATTCAATGACGTGTCTCCGATGTACCTAACAGTCTGACACAGTTGATGGTAATTTTTCGGGAATTTTGGAGTGATTTTTGAATTTTTTGGTGCAAAGGGGTCACTGACCTGGTGATAGCTCGATGAATTCCAAGGGGTTGGAAAATTCTTTTTCTCACGGTTATTCGGGATAACTCAGTGTTATTGAGGGTAGAGTCGAGTTTGTACTGGACTTTTGGTTTAGGAGTTGATGGGATAGAGGCCCCCCAGACCAGGGCTTGTCCCCTTCGCCGGCAACTCGATTTTTCCCCTTCCAGTTTTCGTTGCCAGCACTACGTGTACTAACTGCCAATTGGAGTTGCCAGGGGTCCCCTTGGTGCTCACGCCATTGCACACCCCAGCAACCCCTTTTGTGAGTCACTTACACGTCACAGGGAATTTGCCATTCAATACCGCAATTCGATAAAATATCGACGAAATCATTTTACCCCATATCTGCATCCCCTCAGGTCTCGATTTTTTATATCTTTCATTTCATTCAATATTTCATTGATTATCATTTATGGGACATAAAAAATTTTACTATAATTAATAATTTATTAAAAATTGCAGGGATATTGTTAAATGAATAATTTTAATTGCATCGAATAATTTCGATTGGAGAAATATTTATTATTCGCGGTATATACTCCCTTGAAATTTCCACCAATTACCAAAGTCTTTGATTCAAATAAATCCTTCCATTTCCCGTGAAATAACCGACACGCTCTCATTACCGTCAACTCAGCAGATTAATTACTAAATTAAGCCCATCAATGCCACATACTTGATCAATGACCTGACCGTTAATCCAGAACTCTGAAAAAAAAATTTCCACAAATCGCTGAGGAATAAAAACCAAGTCACGTTAAATCCACTGCTCAATTAACACCAGGATAAGTAAAAAATAATCCCTGCAACTGTTCGTACGTTTTATTCATTTCCTCCAAACCCATTTTAAGTGGGAGACTGACAACTGCAGAGGGTCGAGGGGATTCTCGATGACTCATTGCCTCCAGCTGCGTCGCATATGTCTCCATGATGCACGTGCTTGTAAAAATTGCGACGAAAACTGATAAAAATTCATGACTAAACACCCAAGTATTTCCCATCCAAACATGACAAAAATACTTGAACCAAGATAAAATAAAAACCTAGTCGTTTAAATTTATGATCACTTCGATGAATCATGAACTGTCAAATTTCTAAATTCCTTCACTCCAACAATATCCCAATTTATGAGAAATTAATTTGAAGAGAAAAGAAAAAAGGAATAATGAGTAAAATTTTTTCACGACTGCGGGATGTCTTTATTGATCATAATAAGACTTACCTAGATTTTAATACACATCACATTATCATTAATTTTCATCATCTTATTCATAATGTACTCAGGGGAGAGAGTTATATACAAAAAGCCATGGCAAAGGCCTAAAAACCTATTTTGCTGTCTTCCAAATCATTACTATCAAGTTAACATTGAACAAATCGTTGAATGAAAATGTCCCTCTGTCTCTCAATGTACAATCGACAATTTTAATAATCAGAGGGAATTTACAGTTAAAGTCTAAATGCGTGCGAATGTGTAATTCATTGTTTCTCGTATTCCAGTCCTACTTCGTACAATTTTATCTGGTCGAAACGAAAAAAAAAACCAAAAATCATTGGTTCAGTAGAGTCAATTAACCAATTAAACGTGACTTATTACCTAGAAAAATTCGATAATCCATTCTTACAATTGAACTCATCGTCTCCATTGTCAAAAATACATATTTGAAAAGGGACAATTCAAGAAAATTCGCCAAATTATCAATTTTCCTGTTTGAAGAATAAAATTACTTGGATCGATATAACGAAAGTAAAATGGACAGATTAATTGGAGGTCTCGACTTTTTTCACTTATTTTTTTATATAAAAGTTATTAGTTTTTGGGAATACGTTGGCGTCCGTCGGTGATAAATTGAATTGAATTTTTTTCGTATTTTCCACTTTTGTTTTCTCTCGTATTAATTTTTCATTTCACGATTATTATGACGAGTTTATTGGTGATTATTAGTCGGCCTTTGCGCAGTTACTCTGCGGGGATTTGTCGCCGTTCATTGGTGATCTTGAGCGACTGTGGCTCTTGCTGTGTTTACTACCTGAACGAGATCTGGAGCGTTCACCTCTGGAGCGCTCGCGACTCGACCTCTCCTTCGAGGGAGACTTTGCCTTTGACTTGGATAGGGATCTCGATTTTGAGCGCTCTGCCTTCGATCTTGAGCGAGATCGTGACTTGGATTTTGATTTTGAGTGATCTCTGGATCTGAAAATTCAGATAAACATCCATTCCATTTAATTCATTTCGCAGAATATTCACAGCAACGATCGATTATATCTCCCTAAATCGTTTGATTTCACTCCGATCGCATTTAAAACAAGACATTTTAATTGAAAAGTTAAAAAAAAAGCGGGATGAGGTACTCACTTGGACTTGGAACGAGAGCGACTGCGCTCAGGAGACTTGGATTTGGATTTTGATTTGGATTTTGAGTGTGCCCTCGACTTGGAGCGGCTGCTGCGACGGCTACGGCTACGTGAGCTGCGGCGGCTCCTGGTGCAAAAATAACATATTTTTTTTTCATGAATTTACAGCTCCAAGAACAAAATTCATCGTTGAAACAATAAAATCCCCAATCTATTAATTTCCTTCTCACTAGATTCGAATATTTTTTTACTTGCTTGACTGATTCTAAATCCCTCCATGATTTTAATACTCAAATGCAAACCGAGGAAGAGGTTTCAGTCGATAAAATTCAGTAGCGAAAAGGTGAATAATATTTCTCAACTCCTCAATTATCAGCTATAAATCCGCTTGTAACCTTTAACTCAGTAAAATTTTCGAGAAATATCTCTGAATCGACAGAAGATGAATACAGAAATTTTTCAAAGAATATCTTTTGCAGTTCTCATTCTACTCCAGAAAAAATGTGAGAATAAAAATAAAGTTATTTCCCTTAGTTTCACCGACATTCCTCGAAATTCGACTAGTCAGTCATCACTTCTTCGCTACTGAATTGATTTCAAGGAAATAGCAGGAGTCAGAAGTGAAAATCATGCAGAATGAGTGATTTCTCGCGTTATTGCTTTGTTGCTAAACATTTTCAAATTTCTAAAGATAAAAATTCTGTTCTCTAACGGAGACACAGCTTTCTCCATGTTTTATTCAAAAAATGAATTTATGAAAGCATTGGGTTAACTCACGACGCCGATGTATACAGAGCGTGAAATATTTTCTGGAAATATTAATTTACCTGGAGCGAGAGCGAGAGCGACGTCGAGAGCGTGAGCGTGAGCGGGATCGAGATCTCGAGCTAGATGAGCGAGAACGACGACCTCTCCTCTTGTCCTCAACCAGACGAATCCTTCTGCCATTCAGCTCAGTGTCATCGAGCTTGTCGATGGCATTCTTCAAGTCCGAGTACGTAGCGAATTCTACAACTCTGCAATTAATTCAATTAAATGCAATCAGAATTCACGTTACTCATTATTTTTTATTGCAAACAAACAAAAAAGTCAAATTAATTTTTACCCTTCATTCCTGCGTTGTTTATGAGCATCAGCATAAGTAACTTCTCCAGCTTGTCTCATGTAATCCTTCAAATCCTGAGACGCAAAACACGAATATCAATTCACAAATTCATCTTTTAAGTGTCAATACTCTAAATTATCCTCAACTACGAAGAACCTATCAGTCATCTTAATTAATTACAGGGGGAATTAGGATGAACGCTGTGCACTATCATCCTACACTGTTATCACAATCTCCTCTACTAAAATCCAGAAAGAAACATTTTTCATCAATTCAATAATGAATACCGGACGGTGTGCTCGAATTTAGTATCAAAACACTCAACTTTTCTTCGAATTCAGTCCTAAAAGTCAGATCTACTAATATCCTTCATCAATCCCTGAATAAAAACTAAAATAACTATAAATATTTATATCTTAATATCTAAATCCCACAGATCATGCTGAGTACAAATAATCCTCACAAAAATCCCCAAAAATTTGTCTCCTAAACATAATTAAAATAATCCTATGCTCAAACCTGAAAATTAAAATATTAGTTCCTTAAAATGATAATTAATAATTAAAAAATATCTCCGATGTGGCGTTAATTTCCGTATTTTCGGTATTTGTGGTTGTGAATTTTGCGCTGCAGGTGCCATTTGGGAAGATCCTTATCCAAAAATTGTCCAAGCACTCCAGAAGTCGCAAGAGCTCGTGGAATTTATGGTGGATCGTGAATATTCTCTCAGATAATCATTCTATCATTCCTCTAGAATCATTTCCCATCGTCTTTCCACATTCTCCGATTGAAAAATCCTTTTGGGGCGATGGCGATGACTTCGAGTCTTATTGAATCGTCATGTGAATTTGTGGGAACCAGGTACGGCTTTAATTCCAGAAACCAGTCGAGTTCGTAGGAGTGGTATTGATTGAATTCCGAGTGTTCTCTCGATGCTGAAGTATTCGAGTGGATTTTCTCAGATTTCTCTTGGTCTTCGGTGTGAAATCGATAAGTCAATCGAGTCTTGTGGCGGTGTTACAATTTTTAAAAAATCCCTTGCGCGAAGAAAAGTTGATGAATTTTTTTTGGGAGATCCAAGTAAAATTCCAATTATTAATACCACCATAGTACATAATAAGACAATCGAATTAAAATTAAAAAAAAAATTCTTGGATTTCTCAAATTGCCCTAATTTCGAGCACAATAATAATGTACCAATACACCCACCCATCCTCACAACAATAAATAACAATATTGAATATAATCCACAATCTTACATCTAAAAAAATTCCTCGACAGTTGTTGACCCCAAGATGACCTAAACCAATCATCAGAGTATCACTTTGCTGAATTGATAAATGATTAATAAATAACAAATAACTTATAAATCCTATAACTAAGAGAACACTCGGTTAAGGTGTACGCATTTACCTTGGGCCCAGGCACCACCTTGATAACGTAACAGTGAGAGAGGCCAAGACACACGGCGCATCGGGTCGTTAGGATCAGTGTGACGTCTCGCGTGTGCTTTTGACAATTGGCCCCCGTGTATGACCCTCAATTGTGGCCGCTGCCTGACCACTTTATTGACGCCCAATAGCCAGTAACCAGTCGTTGATAGAAGTCGTGGATGGTAATGGACTTATGATTGATTCATCGATTCATTACATTAAATGTCATGATATTAATGATTACTTGGTGTCATGATGATGGAATTTGTCAAGGAAGTGAAGCAAAAAAAAATATATATATATATAATAGGAGCACGGGGTCAGTTGATTGTTGTTCTCGCTGACTGGTGAAATCAGGCGACAATTTGGCTGAGGCTCGTCGATTCGTTATAAACTCCAACCGGTTGAAAAGCATTCGATAGAAAATGGGTTGAATAGGTCGTGGGTCGATGGGTCCGTGGTGTACCTGGTGCCTCCTAACACAATTTGGCCCTCACGCATTTTTATTATTTTCGTTTTGTTTGGTTTTATCGTTTTGTGTGTTTTTTTTTTTCGATAAGATTCGGTTTTTTCGAATTTTCGCTTCTCAGTGTCTCGGTTGCAAACCCCTCAACAGAGATAACCTGGGGGTAATCTGTTGCCACAACATCAGTTCCATCTCTCATGTGTGCATCGTCTCATCGTCTCTTTAGCATTGCGCACATCAGTCTATTGGCCCTATCGGTTTTGGGGCACCTTCCACGGTGAAGAGGTCTATGGCTCTTCGGAAAGAACATCAATTTTTTGCTTTTAGAGATCTTTTAACTGTGACGGTTGCTAGTTCGGGGTTACTGATTTGGCATTTTTTAAGAATCAATAACTGATGACCGGGTATTTTGAATTTTTTGGGACTTGTAACAATTTCGAAGGGACGGGGGAGGTTTGAGGTGGGGAGCAATCGATAATTGTCGACATAATTTACCGATGAAAACTCATCAGATTTCAATTATTGTACTCGAATTTTAATAATTTCAATAATTATTATTAATCAACAATAAAGAATTTTATTTCGTCATTCGATTGCTGAATCGATTGTTGAATCGCTCAAACCTCCCCAGAAAAAATCTCAAACGAAATAAAATAACTGAAACAAGATCGACTCTACAATCCAAAACCAATGAATAGACTTTCAATCGAGAGTTTAATCGACTCTGAACAAACGCAATGTAAATTGATCAAGTAAGACTTGGTATCTTCGCTCATTGTTGTGGCTATCGTTCCCTCGAGAGTCGCTGCAAGTTGTCTCATAAAATCGCCCTCCGGACAGTCTTTCTGCGCCCTGGTATTTCCCACATATCCATCACCCAGTGCCACTCGATTCCTCCACGTCCATCACTCGGAGTCTCAATAGGTCTCATCCACCAGACCAAGATCATATCCCCCAGAATCCTCACGACAGTGTCATCCACTTTTAAATCCACTCGCATCATTCCACTGTTATTAATCCTCTCCGAAATAAATCCATCGTCTCAATTTCCCCAGACTTACTTGATCAAAATGTACATCGTTCATCACAAAATTAAGAATTCCGAGAAATTTTATGAATAAAAAATAAATACGAAAAAAAAAACAAAACAAAAAGACTGAAAGACTCTATTGACTCTTCACTCGTCAACACAGTGGATCGCTATTTAATCGCGATAATGATTTCTCACGAAAACACGTGGCGGGGACAGAAAAATAATAAACACGAAGAGTTTAATATAAATATTGAATTAATCTCAGTGACTTACCTGCCAGCTGACACGAGTAGAGAGATTCTCCACTGTGAGTCGATATTCAGTGCGAGTTGGTGGTCCATACCTAAAATAAAAAAAAAGAAATATTGCAAAAATGACAATAACCACGTAAATTCATTGTGTCAAACAGCAGGTTTGCTTATAGACCTGCTTATTGACACAAGAGTGTGATAAAAAAAAAAATAAAAAGACTCTAGATAAATTTTGAAAGTGAATTGAAAAATTATTCTTTTTCTACGTATTATTTCTTTATCATTGTTATTTTATTAAATAATTTTGATATGCATAGCGTTTATCTGAGCAAATAAATAATCAAGTTCATTGGAATGAAACGTATAACTGTTTTAATGTCATTGGTATGTACCTGGGCAATGATTGCTTGTAGCTAGATGCAGTCCTCATGTTTCTGTTCACACTATCTCTGCAAAAAGGGATTTTAATGTGAACAGAAATAACGGATATTCCTCGTGAGTTCATAGGTATTAAATAATATAATCGTGGAGTGGGAATTAAGTCAAACCTTTGGCAAATAACTACTTAATTTGCACTCATTGCTCAGGCACACACAATCAATCACCTGTATATTCAATCGACAATAGAAATAGGATTTTTAATAAATTTTTGATTCTACGGTTATTATGCAACTAATTAGCGTACCTGTCGTGCCGCATATCGTCTCGGCTGTAACAAACACATCATACATCTATTAGTTGCTAATCGCATCATCGCATTTTAGTGATTGAGTTTAAGGCGATGAGCAAAGCAATTTACTAGTTATCTCAAAATTTTATCGTTAAATATTTCAAGACTAGATAGCAACAGACTCTACGTGACAACTCTAAGGGATTCATTGATAATTATTTACAAAGATTTATTGGTATCTATTGTCTAGTTGATTTCTAGGGTTGTTGGAAAAATCAATTGAATGATTGTCAAAGTGATTGATTCGTTGCTAGATCGGTAAGAGGTGAGAGCTCGTCTTATCCAACATTCCAAGCCATCGATGATGCCAAAAATTCAGTGATTTGTGGGATCGATAGATTAATAACAGAGAGACGCTAGTCCCAAAGGTGCAATCGAATTTATCTTGTAGTTTCGATGTTTTCCTCTATTTTCTCTGTGTAATTTAATTTTTCTGGGACTTACGCTCATCTGTTAGTAAACCGTCGATTTGGAATACCACGTGGGCCTCGAAAACACCGCAGGGAAATCAGAATTCTCCCACCGAAATTTCAGCCAAAAGATTTGCAGAGCAAAATAAATCCGCAAATTGACTGTTTCTGAGATAAATCGAGATTACGCAAAACGAAAAAAAAATGCAGAATTGGAAAGACATGAAAATTAAAAAATTGAAGAATAAAAAATGACATTTCAATGATTTTGGCTGAAATTCGAGTTACACCGTCGACTCTTCACACACCAGGGGATACTGATTGCTCATGACAAAATAATACTCCATGGGGAAAAAAAAAATTATTGAAAACTGGATAGCGTGTCTTACGCAGATCGCCTCGAGTCCCCATAACCACCACGGGAGTCACCATAGCGCCACTGGTCACTACCCCTAGGTGTCCCCCGGGCCCTCTCTACAGTAATTCTGTAACAAGACACATTGGATATGCTTACTTGTCTCTCCAGGAGCGTGAGCGTCCGTAGCCACGGTCGCCTCGCCTCCCTGAAACACCCCGTGCTATCTCCACCGCCACTCTGAAACACACCCAACAAAACCCCGCCTAAGTCCTCGACTAATTCTCACTCAAATTCTGTCTCTCTTTTCCATCCCACCTCCAGTCCTCATCAGAATTATCATACTATGAAAACATCCGTATTTCATTTCCCTTTTGCTTTCAGTCTTAACGATGGATATTCGTCACCTATCCAAAACAATCCCTGACACATCGTCCTCTAGGAATTTCCCATTTCCCACTTTCCATTTCCATTTCGCCACCCTGGCATATTTATTATTCACTCTCATTAACGATTTATTGAAATTCTCGATAATTAATTCATTAAGGGGCTGAAGTCATTGTAACTATTCAATTTCTCCACTGGATTATTCAGTTATCATAATTTCTGGAGAAGTGACGAATTATCGAACTTGAAATAATCAGGATTAAAAATAATAAATAGAAGTTGAATTTAAATTCCTACACATGGACGTCTACATTCGGGGAGTTGATGGTAGTTTCCAAAATGGCGGTAAAGTATATATATGGATGTTTTTAATGACTGGCAATTGTCAAGCAAATTCATAGGCCATGCCATGGTATTGTTTCTCAATAATATATATCATTAGTGCAATATCTAAAATAATAAATAAATTTAATTGAAAGCGTGTTATACCTCTCGCCAAGAAGCTCCTTGCCATTGAGCTCGTAGACGGCGTCGTCGGCGTCCCTGTAGTCATCGAATTCCTGAAAAATCAAAAATACAATATGATTATAAAAAACTCCAGTAATTTTTTAAAATCATGCAGACACCTTCGTGCATTCACAGCAAAGAGGAATTCTCCCGGGGGAGGCGAGAATGAAAAAAATTTCTTTTCCATTTTTCAAGATAAAACATTGAGAATGCAATCAATATCGAGAGAATTTCACGAAATTAAAGTAAAAATACTATTTTCCTCGTCTCCCCTAATTCCAAAAGGAGATGAATGAAGTAATATATTTTTTTATTCCGCCAAAAAAAATGAATAATTTTGAAATGATTTGAAAAAAAAAAAAATAGATCTGGGTCTCTGAACGTTCTTACCAACAGGGATTTTTCATTTTCATTGTTTTTTTTTTCTTTAAACAACAATACTCACGACAAAGCCATAGCCATTCTTGATGAGAACATCACGAAAACGACCGTATCCTCTGAAAAATCTCTCAAGGTCTCTTTCCCTGGTGCCGTATGGAAGCCCACCGACATAGACCCTTGTCCCTACCATACTGTAAAAAGAAAAGCAATTGAACGACATTAGACTTACCACAAAGGCAAATCCGTTCTTCATAGCGACCTCCTTGATTCTACCATATTTCCGGAAGAACTTCTCGAGGTCGCGCTCTCTCACCCGGTATCTTAATCCACCAACGAATACTCGGGTGCTCATTCTTTAAAGGAAAATATAAAAAACACCTTACATAACAGGCCTGTCCACCTGCCTTTCATTCATCCATTAAGTATTAAACTTATTTTTTTATCTCTTCATTTAATAAATTTTACCGGTGATCATCAGATCATTGTCGTTCTAAATTAAATGAGGTCTCAATTACTGCATGACCATTCGATCGAACAGGTACAGGCCCTTTTTTTAAAATAAATAAGTGAAAACGTGTTGGCATTGTGCACTGATACACACTAGATAGGCAGTATCTCTGGTTCTAAAAGAGATAACGACATTTTTGTGAAAACTTTATTTGTAGTTCTCATTACAATCTCAAAAAAAGTTCCTCACGATTTTTCGATGTGTCTGTTAGATTCAGAGATATTCCTCGCGAACTCAATTTGCGCGCTTCAAGATTGAGGAGATTAAAATAAATATTTTTATTTCTCTTGTAGATTATCTTTCTTCCTCCTCGCGATAATCCCAGAATGGGTTAAATATATCTACCGACCCGTTGTTTGAGATTTAAAAATTGTTTTATAAAAAAAAAAGAAGTACTGTACGTCGAAATATTTATAATCAGTCTCAAAAGAAAAATAATTAGTGCGCTTCCACGTTTCGCTGAATCAGATATTATGAAGACACGTGTTCCTCTCTGGATTATATGCAAATAAATTTACAGTGCCTGTAGGGTCCGAAGGAATGGCCTTGGGTGATAACGGTTTTCGATTCGGGAGTCCAAAGGCCCTAAATATAATCCTACGATTTTGTGCTACTTAAATATTCGACTAATGACCATTCGTCAGCCTCTCCTATAACCACCCGCGTAAAACCTAATCCCCAAATCCTCATCCTCACGTTTCCCCAGGATTCCGTACAATTCACCATTAAATATGCGTCACCAGAAATCCAAATATAAAATTTCAGAATCACGAAACGATAATAAACAAATTCAACATGGCGGGATGCAACGCTATCTCATCCGGTCGAATCGTTGATAAAAATTTTATTGACACTAGATTGACAATAACCATGAAAGCAGACACAAACAGTCTGATAAATAAATGAAAAAAAAAAACGAATGGAAATTGATATCTCCACAATACATTGCTCCCCAAAAAACAATTCCAAAAGGAGAATAAATAGCGTGAGGAAAGGATGAGTTAAAACGAGCCAGGGAATAATCAATCATCACTCATTACCCACAAAAAAATGATAATTTAATTAACGAGGCCATTACGGGGTTGAGCGTGTGCAAAGCATCGGCCAGAAAATTAAAGTAAAACTTGGGGAATTACTGTGTGAAAATGTAGCACAAGCTGTCGAATTACGCGTCCTCGCCCGAAATAAAATGATACGTAATTTTTGAAAAAATTATCTTCGTTGTAGCAATTGCTCTTACCTGATGCTTCAAAATTCACGGATACTCGTACAATTGAGCCTCGGCTATTGATCAGTGGATTTTTATTTTAACACTCGGTGGTTTATCACTGATAATTAATAATCTTGCGGTGGTTATTGTATCGGCGTCTGACTGTAACCGAATACCAAGGGGAAGAGTGCGGTTTTGGCCTAGAGAAACCGCCGGAAATTGTCTGGGGATCACTGGGGGAAAAACACGGACTCCAGAATTTTAATCTCAAAACCAGACGCCTCGACCCCCACTCCACCCGTCGCCAAAGTCAAATGAATATTTAAAAAATTATTTTCAAAAATTTTCAATCTAATTAATGATTTCCCCTCACTACCACGCACTAATTATTAATCATTTCGCATGCAGAAATAATTACTCTGTCTCAAATGTCTACTTTCACCCCTTTTTTTACGTTTTTAATTATTTATTGATGTCCGACAATTTCAACATTTTTTTTACGCCGCTGTAATGCGGGTGTGAGCGGGCAATTTGAAAGATGGGTAATTAAATTATTTTTAATTTTTGATTTTGGGACTTTTTTGGGGCTTTTTTGGGGGGTGAAGAGCGGGAACTGATGCTTTTTTGAACGGGCGCATGGGTTCGAGATTTTTTTTAGGTCCGAGCGGGAATAAATTCCCCTAAGGTCTAGGGGATTTGGAGACGTCTGGGGTCGACTCAAAGAGGATTGACTAAAGTAGAGGCTAATGGTAGTACTGCACCCCAAGAGGGGAGGGCGCCACACCCAATGGGGGTGTCTGTCCGTCAGCCGACTGAGTAGCACTAACGATGCCAGACGAGGGCATCCACGCGTGGGATTTTCGTGCGCATTTTTATGGCGCACTCTCCTGGTCCCCACTACTGTGCTAGCCATGAGCGCAAAAGCCATTGCGCCGGGCAAGGAATGCGCTAAAGGCTGCGCACTAGAACGCTGCCGAGGAGTGGGGACGTGAGGGACTCTTGCTGGTAGCACTGCTACTGATGCAGTTACTCGGCTGACGTGCAGGCACCACCATGGCGCGTGGCGCCCTCGCTCTCTTGGGGTGGAGTACGACGATGCTGCTGGATTCACTCAAGCCCCAGAACTGAACCTCTACCTTAGTCAATCCTCTTTGTTGGTATTTTGTTTACCGGTTTATTTGGCGGTGGAAAAACTTGTGAGAACTCGTTGGGTTTTGTTATTTATTTGTTGAATTTTCGGGGTGTATTCTTGCAGGTGATAAGGGCCTGGGGGTGTTAAGGGTGGATTCTGGAAATATGGCTGTCGAGGAAAATAAAAATTTTAAGGACAGAGGAACCATCGTCGAAATAAAACTGGAGAACTTTATGTAAGGGGATGGAAAACGCATGTTCGTGGTTTTTCTATGAATAAAATTTAACCTCGAATTTTTTTAATTCCAGTACTTATAGAAATGCTGTTATTTATCCTGGTCGACACTTGAACGTGATAATCGGTCCCAATGGCACGGGAAAATCAACGATTGCAACTGCACTAGCCCTGGGTTTCGGTGGAACCCCAAAATTAATAGGAAAACCCGAAATGCCAGTGGGTGCTACTGTCAAAAATGACTGTCAAAAAGCGAGGATTGACATTGTGGTCAGACACACTCCCACAGCGAACATGACCTTCACGAGAACAATTGATCGTCAAAGCAAGTCTAATTACTTTATCAACGATAATTCTATTGCAGTTTCGAAATTCAAGGAGAAGGTGAAGGAATTTCGTATCCAGGTGGACAACCTGACGCAATTCCTCCCCCAAGAGAACATCAAGGGTTTCTCAGAGCTCACAGGTAAGCAATTGCTACTGAACACAGAGCGCTCTATTTCCGACACAACCCTGGAGACCCACCACACCACCCTGAAAGACAACAGGGCTCGTCAAAAGGTCCTGGAGGCTGACATCAGAAAGCGCAGCGAACGCCTGGCAGTCTCAGAGCAGCATTACACCACCCTCTCCGAGGAGGTGCAGCAATTCAAAGAGCGCAAGAATTTGAAAAAAAAATTGGCAGCCCTGAAGCAAAAACGCGCCTGGATCAGGTACGACATTCAGCGAACAGAGCTGTTGGAGGCGAAAAAGCGTCGTGACGATGCAGCCCGAGAGATGAAAACCTGCGACGACCGTCTTGCCCCAATAGATGATGCCATAAGAACTCTCCAATCAGAATTGAAAACCCTCGACAGAAAATTTGTACAGACTACCACAAAAATGAGAGACTTTAACAAAAATTTCAAGAAGTACCTCGACGACATTGACGATTTGAATCACATGATAAAAATGGAGGAGCAGAAGTGCGTATCAGAAATTGAGAATGAGAAAAAACGAGACGACAAGATCAACGCCCAGCGTAAGCTCAGCGAGAAGTTTGAGAATGACATGGTGACCCTGGAGGAGGAGTTTGGAGCTGAGAACGATTTACGCAGGCGGATGGACGAGTTGACACCCCAGATTGAGTTCCACAGGTCGATGATTATACGTCTCTCCGAGGAATCAAATATGAAAAAAACAGAAATAGAGCAGATGACCTATCAGATAAATAATTTGAGACAAGAGCAGCAGGCCTTGAAGGACATTGAGTTAAAACGCATGGAACTCCTCATGCGGAGGAGCAAGGACGCCCACGCAGGGGTCATATGGCTCCGTCAGAATCAACACCTCTTCAGGAAGAGGGTCTGGGAGCCGATGATGCTGCATATCCATGTGAAGGACAGTAAGTATTCAAAGTTCTTTGAGAACATCATTGCCTGGAAGGACCTGGTGGCGTTTGTCTGTGAGGATAAGGACGACATGGGTCTCCTTCTGAATCACTTGAGAACTCGTCAGAAGTTGAAAGTCAATGCTGTCTACTCTGATATTTTTAAACCAGTCACTATGACCCCGAGGGTGTCTCTGAACGAAATAAAACGATTGGGTTTCACTCATTACTTGATCGATCTCATTGAAGCCCCAGATCCCATTCTCAAGTGGATCGTTAGCATGTATCACCTTCAGAATATTCCCATAGGCACTAATAGAGTCGACGAGACTTTCGACCAGGTGCCACCATCGTTCTTCACGTTCTTTAGCTTTAACAAGAATTTTCATATCTCAATGTCCAAGTACTCGAAGCAAAGATCAACGAGTATCAGAGGAGTCATGTCAACGGGGACTCTGTCGTTGAATCTCGATTCAGTGAAGGTAAATGAGATCGAGGGAAAGATTGGGCGTCTCACTCAGATGAAGGATGTGTCCCTGAAGCACTTCGAAGAACTCCAGGAGAAGATCACCCAGCAGAAGATTATTCTGGAGGAGTTCAGGGAGAAGAGGGCAACGTTGGCATCTCATTACGCCAGAATTCAGAACACTGGTTTGAAGATGGCAGAGGCGGAGAGGAAACTTCTTCAGCTGGAGGCTGAGAGGACCGATATCGAGGACATAAAAAAAAAGAGGGATGGAGCAATTAAAAATCTGGTGAGAAAGCAAATGAATGTGTATGGGAAGATCAATGAGTCCAGTCAGGAGATTTTTCGTGTAGCGAAGATTTGTGAGTCCATTGAGCTGCAGGTGCAGGAGAAGAATTCCAGGATTTCGGAGAAGCAGAGAGAGTCCAGGGAGCTCAGGGTACAGGCCAGGGAAGCTGAGAGGGTTTACAAGGATCTCGATGCTGCCATGGTCGAGATGAATAGTAAAACGAGAGAACTTCAGGGAATTGCGAGGGATTTGACTGGGGGTGTTACACCTCACGACAAGGAAGCCTTCAAGCATTACAATGCTGCTTTTGCGAGACTCCCACCGGATATACCTGGAATTGATGAGCTCATGGAGAACACTCGGGTGAGAATTTATGTGTCGAAGGACAATCCTGATGCTGAGAACAGGATAAAGGAGTACGAGACGCTTGGGGCACAAATAGAGACCTACAAGACCGAGTTGGAGGCCATGAACGAGGAGTTGACCATCAATCAAGAGGAGACTGAGAGGATCAAACAGATGTGGCTGCCTCCTCTTCAGGCACTGGTAAATAGAATTCGTGGAAATTTTTCAGGGTATTTGGAGAAACTTGGGTGCGCTGGAGATGTCGCACTCGTTCATGGAGACAATCCTAATGACTTTGAGGATTATGCACTGAAGATCATGGTGAAGTTCAGAGATAATGAACCTCTTCAGGAATTCGCGAAGAACAGGCAGAGTGGAGGTGAAACCTCTCTGACAACTGCTATGTTTATGCTTGCCCTTCAGGATATGTCTCAGGTACCTTTCAGGTGCGTTGATGAGATTAATCAGGGGATGGATGCCACTAATGACAGGAAAGTCTTCGAGCACATCATGAATATCACTGCGAAGGGAAATAGTTCGCAGTATTTTTTGCTCACACCAAAATTACTTCCAAATCTTCCTTACAATGAGAGTGTAACAATACTCTGTGTTTTTAATGGACCTGGGGTTATTCCACATAATGACTGGACCATTCAGAAGTACTTGGAGAAGTTGAGGGCGAGGAAAAGGCTCAGGAAATAGAACCTAGTTTTATTCCGAACGTTCTAAGGATTAAATTGTTTCAGGTATAAATTTATTTTTTTAAGTGAGCCCAAAGCGATTCGTGGGAGATAATATATTATTTTTATGGTAATATAGTATAATATAATATCTTGAAAGTACCATTCCTGAGAAAGAGAGGAAGGTACATAAAAGTTCGTGAGAATTAATCCCTCAATATAGTACAAAAAACCAAGGAAATTCCAAAGTCACGTGACACGTACCCTTGTATTTTCATACTTAAAGTTGAATTAATAAAAAGTTTTTAGAGTTTTAAAACTAGAAGTGAAGATTATTATATTATTGATCAGCCATATCCTTTTTCCATTCACTATAAAAATCGGAAAATGGAGTCATTAATTTTAGCGCTTTTTCTTCTTCTTTTTCTGCGCATCGGGCCAGGGAAACCCTCGACACTTCAGGACATCCATAATATTGTGACAAGTGTAGTAAGCATTTTCCATAACTTCCTCGTTGAAAATATCCATAGCAAAACGACTCTTCCCTCCGCTTCTCTTGGTCGCCTTCGAGGGCTTGCCATTTCCTCCTTTTCCCTTGCCATTTCCATTCTTCTTTTTACCCTTTCCTCCCATTCAAATTTTCTAAAAGTGAAATTTCTATCGCTATTATACGATCACTCGAGCATGTGCCCTGATGAATACTCATTACTCACTCTTTTTTTTTTCTCTTTGCAAAAACGAGTAGCCGATTACGAGCGAAACAATGTCACTTAAGTAGTTGTGGTATTGTTTTATCGATAAGTTTTAAAGAGAGACGAATGTGTATCGATCGTACGAGTCGAAAGAATAAAACGTCATCGGAATTTATAACGCCAAAACTTAAAGTTAAATCTGAATTATATTCTTCCATCGGTAATTCACAGGAATAATTCCAATTTTAAATGATAATTTATTGTCATTTTAATGGTAATTTATTTTCATTTTAATGAAAATCATTAGAAAAAATTGGAAATCGAGGTTTTTTATGAATATTTCTTATTTCTATTTTTGATAATTGTATGAACAACTAGATTTTTCCATTGGATTTGAGCGAGTGAATACATTCTCATTATCATGTTCATCTAACCTCGTTCCTTTACATAAAAAACACATGAAATACTGCCACATAAAACTAGGAAATGTTAAACGAAACGAAAACGTTAGGTTTCCTCCTAAAAAATCTTAACGAACAAACGTCGACATTTTCCTCCGCACATCAGCCAGTGATTACCTAGAAGTGAATGTAGCCGAAAAAATTTGATTTTCCATGTAGCCATCCATTAGAAAAAGATGCAATGTCGTAATTCTCGTTTATGGAGAAATTCTAAGAGAAATTCTAGAGATTGAGTGTCAAAACAGAAAATCCGTATTTTCAATTCCCTCGAGGGAATAACAGCGAATTTTTAAATTAGATCTGCCCGATTATCTCCCCGTTAATTAATTAGGTCTACAATATTATGATTATTAATCAAGCCTAATCAAAAATAGTGCGAGAATTCCACTCAAAATCTGGACCAAGTATTCAGGACATTTTAGATTTATATGAATAGAAATTCAAAGACTGAGCAATACGATGTTTTAAAATGTAAAAGACGTTTTATAGGAGTTATTATTCATAAGTGGAGTCGGTGTAAATCTCGGAAGTACGATAAAAACTCTTGGGTCCAGCAAACCCAGTTTCATTTACGTTTATATTCATCTAGAAAATTCACGATCCGAACGAGAAAACGGCCTCATTTCATTGTTGTATTGCCATCCCTTCCTAATGAATGGAGTCCATTTGAATTCCATAACATAATTATTTGTCCCCTGATTTTAATTACCAAAAAAAATATTTATAAAAAAGGACAGACCCGGGGTCATCAGCCTCCTGTTCTGGTTGAATCTGCTGGCCCCTGAAAATCTCAATGATGAAAAAAAATTTCTCAGAGGCCGCCATCCCCGTTTGCGCATCCCTCCCTCCCCCATCCCCTCACCCCCTCCCACTCATCAGCTGATGTTGGGCGATCACAGGCGGCGCATTACCGTGAACCGACATGTGAGTGATGGACGTGCAATTGGCAGTCATGAACTCATTGTGATTAACCTCATCATTAATATCGTGAAAAAGTTGTGAATGTAAAAGTTTAAACTGTCAGAATGTGAATTAAATTGGGCCACTACAACGAAGTGAACCGAATTCCTCGATTTTTATAAAAAACAAATAGCCACGAATTGATTCAGATCAGATATGGAGTGCTGAGAGGACCAACGCCAGATAACCCCTCGGAGTGATTGGGATAATTGATGAATTATTGAAGTTTAATTGGGTGAAGTGTTGAGGACAGTTTAGGGGATAATCGAGAATATCTGGGTGTCATCAAGTTTATCGAAAATGTCGACGGCTCTGCTTGCACTTATTGCTGTTATTTTATGTGTTCTCTTCAGGATTCTCAATGTTAACAGTTCAGCCCAGAAGCCGGTGATCGTGTGTCAGGATCAGGGATTTTTGTCAACTGTCCTTAAGATTGCACCTGTCATCGCTGAACCGTACGTTTTATTTTTCATTCTTCACCAGTTTTTTTAGCGCTATTTTCTGGGAAAAATTGAATTACTCCGGACAGGCCCCAGGCTTTATAAGCAGGTTAGATCGATGTGCATTAGTCATCGCTGGGAATAAAATAGTGTCGATAGAGCCGGGATATTAGCAATGATAATTTTTTTTTTCTCCAGCGTGTTATATTTTTTTTTGGAGCAGTATGTGAATAACAAGGATTTATGGAGTTCCAGGGAAGATAAACCCTCGGTGGCATCTCGTAATTATTCTGTTATTATTCTCTTGTTGTTTTTGTTTTTAGTGGGTTATGGAAAATGGAAAATGCGGTGGGGTTCTAGGCACGTTATCTACTCAATTATTCTGTTGTGATAACATATGATTTTGCATGAGCTGCAGTTGATGCATTGTTGTGGTATGAGGATAAATTGAGGGGATGGAAGGACACGTGGGAAATCATTGGCAAATTATTATGGAGTGCTTAGGAAATCGTCCGGTAATTGCTGTTATTACTGGGTTACGGTGGGTCCTCGGGAATTCATCGATTGATCGATGCAATTTTTTTAAACTCAGAAGTACTGTTAATTCAGGTAATTGCCTCGGGGTATATCACATCGAGGTGGCAGGTATGTCTTGTCACGCCTTGTTCGATCGAAACGTGGACTCGTCTGTTGGGTTGGGTTTTTACGCCACAATCCGACCTAGACCTTGAGATCGAACTTTGTCGTATTATTCTTTTAGTGAGTCAATTCCCTTTTTTATTCATGACGGAATCATACAGACTGATCTTTACGGTTTATTTTAATTAAATTAAATCCTCAGTCCTCTTTCCAATTTTTTTCGAATTTATTGTGGAGTGAGAGAATTATTTTCTCCGCAAAATGATTTTTATATAGAATAGGCACCTGTTTATTTTTTTTTTCTTTTGATAAGAGGGAGAGAGACAGATTGGATGATTATCGATAATTGCAGATACAATCCGACGAGATTATGGGGTTTCAGTGGTCACGTGCAGACAATAGTCCACAGTATTATTGGAAGGGTGAGATGCCCATGGCCAATTGGTGACAGAATTTACATGAGCCTCGGTGATGGTACAACATTAACATACGACTTGTATCAACCACTGAGCAGTGGTCACGAAGGTGAGTTTTCCCTCACGCTATAATTCTATTCAACGAGTATCATCATTAATTTGATATTAAAACGGCAGGCGTAAGTAAACGAGCATTAGGAGTCATTAAGTTCATTAGTCTAGTGCCTCTAGGAAGTTGAAAATCCATTCGGAATGATAATCAGAACGATTAGCAAGCATGAAATGATTATTCATGACGAATGGGGTTCTCTTTTTTATTTTTATTTCCTTAATTTAATTTTCTTCCAGATGATATCACAGTGGCGATTGCCCCTGGCATTGGAAACAGCTCAGAGAGCGTTTATATAAGGACATTCGTCCACTTTGTTCAGTGTCATGGGTACAGGTGTGCTGTTCTTAATCATGTCGGGGCACTTTCCAGTGTCAAAGTCACTGCACCCAGAATATTTTCTTATGGCAAGTGTAATTTTACTAGATCAATTAAAAATAATTGCAGATAACGTGTGAATTTAGTAGATTTAATAAAATTATCCATAAATTATTACTTCAAAGGCCACACAGATGACTACCACGTGATGCTGTTGAGTCTCGTGGAGAGACACCCCAGCACAAAAATCGTGTGCGTTGGATTCAGTCTAGGGGGAAATTTAGTGACTAAGTACATGGGAGAGAGATCCGCGAATAAACTGCCCCAGATCATCGGGGGGATTTCCATCTGTCAAGGCTACGATGCCATCGAGTATGTAATAATTTATTTATTGATCAATTGTTTGGTTTAATTAATAAATGTATTTGTCCAGAGGAACGAAATTTCTACTCAATTGGCAGAACTTCAGGCGATTCTATCTCTATATTATGACAGAGTCTGTGAAGAACATCATCTTGAGACACAGACAAGCCCTTTTATCTGAGAGTGTCAAACAGAAACATGGTCTCAAGGAGAAGGAGATACTCTCGGCAGCCACCCTTCCGGAGCTCGATGAAGCTTACACTAGAAGGGTGAAAAAAATTTTCCCTGCTTTTTCATTATTTCTCACTTTAATCATTAAATTTTATATTTATATTTATTTATCCAGATACATCAATTCAGATCTGTGAAGGAGATGTACAGGTGGAGCAGTAGCATCAATTATCTGAATGAAATAAATTCTCCAATGGTGTTTATCAATGCTCTCGACGATCCAATCGTACCTGAGGCCCTTCTGAATCCAATCAGAGAATATGCAGGTGATGATGAGTGATTATTCATGATTAAATTAATTAACCAAGAACAATGGTTGAATTAAATTTTATTTGACATTTTACAGCGAAAAAAAATAATTCTCTGTACATCGAAGTGGCTCATGGTGGACATTTGGGTTTCTACGAGGGTGGTCTCCTCTATCCAAATCCAATCACCTGGCTGGATCGTACTCTAGTGTCACTAATTGGCTCACTAACACTCTTCCACGCGGATCGAGTAAAAGTCGCTTAAAATATCCACCTCCCTAGGGGTGTCGATGGACTTATTGCATTTTTAGCTTGACAAAGAAACGATGAGCAAGCTGTAATGGGACCCCCAGTTGCTAAATGCAACTACCAAGCGCTTTATTTAAACCGGAATAATGTACATCCCTCAGCATTTATCGTTAGACTCTAAAATTACGTGGAAATCATTAAAATTCATTTGATGAAACAATCATCACTCGATAATTATCATTCCAGTATTGCACGTGTGAAGTCTATTATGCATTTATTTTTATCTAGCTTTATAGACAAATTTATCATTTATTTCATCGCAATTTTATTACAATTTCGTTATGATTTGTTTGCACAATTTTTTTTTCTGGCTCTCCAGTGATTTTTCATCATGAGCAATTCATCTGATCTGTGTGAATATTTACTAAAATGTGGAGTATGATAGTTTATAGAAAAATAATTGCCATGTAATTTTGGAATCCAAATATTACTGGCAACTGGATGTTTTCTATTGGACTGATTGAGACTGGAAAAAGTTTTGTACGGAGATTACCCACCTTGAGTGGTAAATGCCTGTGAGGACTTGAAGGAGTGAAGTAAAATCACGACATCCTAGATTAATTAATAAGATTTTCATCTATGAGAAGTGGAAAAAAATAAGTAAACACGACTAATTATTCTGCAAATATCTTGAGAGCCTGCAAACAAATCTCCTCTCTCTCGATATATTTCCATATTAATCAGTCTGTCATTCGCAATGATTTTTTAACCACTTCACTGCAGAATTAAATAAAATAAATAAATTACTGTTGTAAATAACCAGAATACCATCTCATGGAGATGGTGTTCCACCTAGGACTTTCACTGGCTCACGTTGAGTTCATTTTCCGTAAGACAAATCTGCTTTTCTCGGGTGACTAACGTTATTAATTTAATGGCATTTATATTTGAAGATGAATTTTATTATTTATAAAAGATGATATATTCGTAAAAATAAAGTGACATTACGTAATCTGGATTACATTCGTTATTCTCTCATCATTAACATTAATAGAAGGGATTGGGATCTCATTCTCATTGTTTATACATTCGATCAATGTCAATAATTATCAATAACTAATAAATCATGGAATATTCTGCAGAGCATGCAGATGGCGAAGATTAGAATGAAAATTAACGAGTTATTTGCTCCTGTTTTACTCACATCTTTTAAACATTCAATTTTCTGCTCCAAATTTCTAGAGAAATAAATTTGAAATACGAAAGGTGCGCGAAATTCCAATGAAGTTATAAATCAGATTGAATTACGTACGCGCATTATCTCTCGGTCAATATTGAATTACAAAAATGGAATTATTAATTTTTTACGTTCCTTAGGTTTATTGAATATGAGAGATTAATATTTCTTTTGAGATTTTTTATATGAAAGACAGACACTTCGATGATTTTTAATTAAAAACATGTGCTGAGAATTTTTCAGTTCTCTCGAGAGTAAAATATTAGAATGTCAGAAATGAAATATTTGAGCAATTGGATGAAGATGTAATTAATTACAGAATTAACATAATGTAATTTTGGTGAGGCTTCGGTCAGGCTTTTATCTAAATGATTTAACGAATCAACACTATCAACGGATTAGATAACAATTCTTGGGAGCTGTGGATCATCTGGAAAAACTAAGAATACCGATACAGATGTTTTTTTTTCTGGAGACCACATGTGGAAGAAATCGTTACGCTTGACGATCCATTCCTCAGTCGACTTTTATAGTTCAGGATAGTTGGGTGTACGTCAGTAATCTCCTGAAGGGTATTTATTCCACAAATTATCCGATCAATACACCAAAATTCCATTCGCAATACGCGATACTAAAAAACGAAATAAAACGAGTCATAGAATTATCGTGCGCTGTCCCATAAAATAATACAAAACACCTGGTGATAAATCGCGTCTTCAAGGAAAACGAAATCTATTTTCATACTTTTATAATAAAATATTAAACAATTGAAATACTCGTTGGTTTAACTCAGTTTTTTTTAAATTATTCAATCAAATTATTGTATTAATTGATAATTCATTGTTATTAATATTATTAATTATTTGAAATTTAGAATAAATATGGGGAGTATCATATGGCTGTTAGTGTCACTGATTAGTCTAGTCTCTTCGAGGGTAATTAATATGGATAATTATTGGCTCCTGCGAGCTAATCTTCTCCACGACGAAGAAGTCACATCAATTGGAGGTCGTCTGGCTTTCAAGGATGGTGAGCGCAATGCCAATGATCTCTTGATGACTCACAAAAGGGCGGAAATTGCTGAAGGTCAGGGTCCACTGATTCCCATTATCGTGTCATTAATTCCACCTTCAAATGCTCGAAAGTCGCGCGTTCGTTTATTTAATTATTTTTATTTTTTTATTTTTAATTCTCTCTCTCCAGGATTTTCGAACCCCCGGAGATTTCTTCCTGGAAGGAACTTCTTGGAGGTTCGAGCGGAAATCGAGAAATCCAAGGTTTTCCAGATAATAAAAAAGCTCCCGAAGGGTGCAGTACTCCACGCCCACGACACGGGGATCGTCCACTGGGAATTCGTCTACAATTTGACATTCAGGGAGAATTTGTACATCTGCGATAACGATGGAGAATTATCCCTTCATTTTTTTCAAACTCCATCGAACACCTGCGACTGGAAGCTCCTGAGTGATCTCAGGATGAACCAGACACTGGGTGATTCTCTGAATGAGAGGATCAAAAGAAAATTGACGATGCTGGTGGAGAATCCCAACGAGAGGTACCCAGATGTCGACGCCGCCTGGACCAAGTTCATGGACATCTTCATCTTCATCACACCGATGCTGTCTTACAGACCTGTCTGGGAGGATTACTATTACCAGGGGCTCCAGGAGCTTTATGACGACAATGTACTGTACCTAGAGCTGAGATCAACACTTCCTCCAGTGTACGAGCTCGATGGGAGAGAGTACAGTCCCCCCGATGTCGTGAGAATCTACAAAAACGTGACAAGAAGGTGAAAAAATATTTTACAGAATCGAAGATGAAATTTTTTTCAAATAACATCTGTAAATAAAGGAATATTGTCGATTTTTAGGTTTAAAGACGACCACCCTGACTTCATCGGTGCGAAAATAATTTACGCTCCACTAAGAACGATGACCGAATCTGAAATCGGTAATTTTATAGGCGAGGCTGTGAACCTGAAGAGGATTTACCCCCATTTCTTTGCGGGATTTGACTTAGTAGGGCAAGAGGATAAGGGAAAAGCCCTGAAGGTGTACGCTGATAAATTGAATGCCGTGAGGAACGATATAAATTTTTTCTTCCACGCTGGTGAGACGAATTGGTACGGCACCAGTACCGATGAGAATTTAATTGACGCAGTTCTGCTGAATGCGAAGAGAATTGGTCATGGCTATGCTATTCTCAAGCATCAGAATGCGTTGGAATACGTCAAGAGGAATAAAATAGCAATAGAACTCTGTCCAATATCGAATCAAGTACTGGGACTGGTGAAGGACCTCCGAAATCATCCGGGATCGGTATTATTTGCCGAGGGTGTACCAGTGGTCGTCTCCAACGATGATCCAGGTCTTTGGGGCTCCAGAGCCCTCAGCTACGACTTCTACGAGGCGTTCATGGGCATGATGTCCAGTAATGCTGACATCCGGGCACTCAAGGAACTAGCTATGAACTCCATCTTCTTCAGCAGCCTCGATGGAGACGAGGAGAGCCTCGCATTTCTCCTTTGGGAAAAAAAATGGATCCATTTCATCGATGATCTCAATAATAATGCAGTTGTCAATCCAGATTATTAATTTTTACTTTGAATTACAGTCAATTGATATTATAATAATAAAAATAACTAATTAAAAAAATAGACTTCCATTCCATTTGGATCATCAGTAATTCATCTCGTCAGTCTCATTTTTTTTTTTTGTAATTTTTAACCGGTGCATTTTATTAATTAATGACTTGACCCACATTTTTTTCTCTAACTCTGATTTCATATCCGATAATTGGGTCACAATTTTACGTAACACCTGATGATTCGTAAATACATAATGGGTAATTCATATCAAAGAATGAGTGTAGAAAACACATAAGAATGTGTTTATTCGTTAAATGTTGATACGGTTTGGGTGGCAGATGTTTCATAATTTGTGGTAATTCAATTAATCCGCTCTGAAAACAGTGTCATTTTAAATTCTTGCATTTCGTCGCGTCTCAGACATTTGCGAATGTCCCGGAGAGGCCGAAGGATCAACTCGGGAATTAATGAATTTATTACTTTCACTTATCCATGATCTCACGATCATGAAAGTAAATGTCGTTTTGTTTATCTCATCGATTGCATTCGTCTCGTCATTGGGAACAACAACGCCGAATTATTGGGTCCTGCGAAATCGAATTCTTCAGGATGAGGAAGTCAAATCCATCGGTGGTGATCTTCCATTCGAGGGAGAGGAATTTATCGCTAATGAACGGTTAATGTTCCATAAAAAAACGGAGATCTCTAAAGGTCAGTGGATATTCTCAATGAATCAACTGCGAATGGCAGAAAATTTCCATTTTATGTTTTAATTATCCCCGAAACTAATGGAGATAACAAAATTTTCGTCATCACCTTTTTTGTAGGGTGCATCGAGACCCACAAAAAAGGTAATTACAAAAATTTCGATCTACCCCTTAGTTTCGGGGATATTAAAAAAAAATACGGGTCGGTGCAAAAATTGAAATTGAACGTGTCAGTGGATTATGATAATTAATCTTTTTTTAATTCAGTAATTCAATTTTTTTGATTGATTGATTATTTCGTGACAGCATTCTTAAATCCCGACGAATTTCTGCCGGCGAGGAATTTTCTGGAGGCTTTTGGAGACATTGAAAAATCGAAAGTCTTCCAGATAATTCAGAAATTGCCGAAGGGCGCAGTTCTCCATGTGCACCACAAGGCGATGGTCCACGCCGACTGGATCTACAATGCGACCTTTCGAGATAATTTATACGTCTGTGAAAATAACGGCAAACTCTTGCTCCACTTCTTCAGAACTCCCCCGAGGAGCTGCAACTGGCACCTCCTGGAGGATTTAAGAAAAAATCGAAATGTCGCGCAATCCATCAACGATAGGATCTCCAAGGCCATGACGATGATCGTGGAGAATCCCCAGGAGGTTTACTCGCACATCGACGTCGGTTGGAATAAATTCGAGGAGATTTTCGATTTCGTTACTCCAGTGATCGGGTATCGTCCGGTCGCCGAGGACCATTTCTATCAGGGGCTCAAAGAATCCTATGACGATAATGTCCTGTACTTGGAAATAAAAACAGGAATTCCGAAGCTATACGATCTCGACGGACGGCAGTACAACGACCACGAGGTCGTGGATATTTTCGAAAAAGTTACTCAGAGGTAAAAAAATAAAAAAATTCAAAATTTGAATAATTCCATCCACAAGATTGAAAATTTCAGGTTCAAGAAAGACCATCCGGACTTCATCGGCGCTAAGTTAATCTACACGAAAGGAAGAATGCTGAGTGACGCGAAAGTGCACGGTTATATCGACAAAGTTGTGGAGCTGAAGAGAGATTTTCCGGATTTCATCGCAGGATTTGATCTAGCGGGTCAAGAGGACAAGGGTAAAGCCCTGAGATCGTGGGCAGAGAGGCTGAATAAATTGAAGACACAGATGAATTTCTTCTTCCACGCTGGTGAGACAAATTGGTATGGTACCAGTACCGATGAGAATTTGATTGACGCTGTTCTGCTGAATACGAAGAGAATTGGCCATGGCTATGCCATTCTCAAGCATCAGAATGTGTTGGAATACGTTAAGAGGAATAAAATAGCAATAGAACTCTGTCCAATATCGAATCAAGTACTGGGACTGGTGAAGGACCTCCGAAATCATCCGGGATCGGTATTATTTGCCGAGGGTGTACCAGTGGTCGTCTCCAACGATGATCCAGGTCTTTGGGGCTCCAGAGCCCTCAGCTACGACTTCTACGAGGCATTCATGGGCATGATGTCCAGTAATGCTGACATCCGGGCACTCAAACAACTAGCTATCAACTCCATCATCTACAGCAGCCTCGGTAAGAATGAAATAGCCGACGCCCTAAAAATTTGGAGGAGCAAATGGATCGACTTTGTTAATGATCTCAAGAATGAACCCAATTGACATCAATTCAAGTTCTTAATTATAATTTTTTATCTCTAGCACTAATAATTCTATGGAAAAAGTGACAATAGGATAGGAAATACAATATCAATAATGCTATTCTTTTTATTCTTTATTTTCATTGTTCACAAATTTAATTCGTTGGGTTCTTCTTGATTGCAATGTACTTCTGGTACTTTCTGCTGGAGTTAGGGCCATTCAAGACCCCGATTATTGGGCCTTCAAACGCGTAATAAAGTTTCAGAGAAGGCACCATATTTCTCTCTTCAGAACTCGCATAAATCGATTTACTTTCAACCGGGAGTCTCTCCTTCTCTGAAGACCTCTGGATAATTCCCGTTGTCGTTTCCAGCGCAGTCCACTCATCGGAATCATAATAATCCTCGTCCTCCAGGTCATTCACTGGAGTCGTTTGAATTCTATTTCTCATCTTCGGAGTCACTGGAATTTTCGCTGTGGATTTGGGACTTTCATTCTCAAGTATTGACGATTTTATTGTTGACGATACTGTATACGTCGTCCTCGAGGTGATAATCTCCCCAGGAGATCGCCAGGTCTTCTCCTGGTGAATAATCGGTCGTTCTGATTGTGAAGGACCTGGAGCATTCGTCGACCTCTGGCAGATGTACTCGCGTCTCCTGTCGCAGGGGAACTCCAGGAATCTCGGGACCTCTCGGTGGTGCCAATCGAACAGGAGACAACCCCTCGATGATGAATTTTTTATCACTCTCTGGGGACCTCTCCAGAGGGTCTCCGAGATTTCCTCGTTGGTGGATATCCAACGCCAGGTCATACCCTGGGATTTATTCTTCGCGTAACCGCCGATCCACGCGCTCTCAATTGCATCTTTAATATTCGCAAACAATAATTATTGACTTATTAATTAATTAAAAGAGTAATGAGCACTTTTTTATTACTTTCCCATATTTTAGTTGATAATTAATAACGTGGAAATTTTTTAATCATTGTTATTGAATTTTTATAATTACCGGGACGATTTCTCATCATCATTTGCGCCAATTTTTTCGCCTCTTCGATCGTTCGAACTTCCGCGATTTCCATTCCCTCCTCTTCACACTGGAGGACAGCCTCTGGCCAATTTTTTCTCTCGTTAAACAACCAGTACTCATTATCCCCGGATTTACAAAACAAAGCCCTTCGATTTCCAATGACAACGAAATTTTCTTTCTCCTCAAATCCCGCACACGCGAGTACTGTACTAAGTACAAGAATTAAATTCATTTATTACAAAGCAATTGTTACAATTTTCCTGTTCCCACTTGAGGACGAACTCCTCGAAATAATTGGCAAATCCATTTTTTCAGATGAAAAATTCTTATCGTGAATTCTTATCTCCGTTTTAAAATCGTAATCAATTCGCGAATGTCAACAATCGAGTTGTTTTCAAATTTAAAAACCCTGGAGCGATATTCGTCCATCTCGTGGAAATATCTGACACCCTTGCCATCAAATTTCCTAACCTTCGAGATATCTCTGGATTTTTGGAGAAAAAAACATTACTCTTGTGCTCGTCTCGAATAAATTGTTAATATAAATTTAAAAATGGTGCAATGAAAAAAATGGAGTATTTAGAGGACATTAGGACAAATTAATAAAATTCAATTCTCAAGATGATTTACGAGGATTAATTGTACTGAATAAGTGATCATTTTTTCTTCAAAGTTCATCGATACTTTTATTTAAACAATCAATTAATTGAAATTAATGACTGAAATGAAAGAGGCGACGAATTCTGTGACAGATACCGAATGTGTTCTGGGGAATGGAGAGGTATTTTATTTTATAATTACAATTATAAATGAAATCTCGAGTAATTAATTTGGAAACAATATCATTAATGGGAGAAAAATGTTTTGAAGATAGATTTATTATTTTCTGTAGACATCACCGGGGGAAGAGACCTCTGGCAAGCGAAAGCTGCGGTCCTGGTTGAATCGGTTTTTGAGAATAAAAATGACTGATGGGAGAGTCCTCACAGGGGCATTTCTTTGCACAGATCGGGATGCCAACGTTATTCTTGGCTCCTGCGAGGAATTTCTCTCTGAAGATCACACAGAGGCGAGGGCATTGGGACTGGTTATGGTTCCAGGACGTCATATCGTCTCGATTCACCTCGACGCCTGGTGCAATGAAAACGAGAAAGCAGCCTAAAAAATTTTATCAATTCTATTTTGTGAATTTTTTGCAAGTCTTCGAGAAAATTCTAAAAGTCTTCACAGAATATCCACACAACAGCATTCAAATATATTCTAAAATTCTCGTACGAATTCACTAATGAATAACAAATTATCACCGCTTTCCCATCGATATCCCAATATTTTCTATTTCTAGTCGAGATTCAGTTCCTCTGGGACATTTTCACTGTCCGCATTCTCAGACTTCTCCCTCGTTTTATCTGAAATAACAAAAGTACAATAACGAGTGAATAAATCTTCAGAGTTAATTGAACATGTTTAAAAATTCGAAATATAATTTCGTTTGTAAAAATTGTGAAAAATTATTACTTTGTCTGACACATTGCTCCTGAATTTTGTAGTACTCTTTCTCAAGTTTCTCATTATCCTTAACTTCTCTTTCCTTTTGTTTCTGGGCGTCCTCCATTCTCTCAGACAATGAAATCGAAAGATTGTCCATTCCCGCAAGGAAACTCACGTTCGTCACGGCTTCTGCCATTTTCTGGACGTACTCCATGTACCCCAGGAGTTGCTGAAACGGATGCGATGAATTATCCAATAATATAATAACAATTTTTTATAAAATTCCTCTCCTCAACTCACAGTCAAAACCTCTTTCTTGTCCTGCATCTCCATCCTGACCTCGATAATTAAATCCCGATGATCATCACTGACCTCAAAAATCATGGTTTCCTCCATGAGATTAATGAGCTGCCCCAAAAGTTTTCTGCAACGAATCTTAAATGAATGATTAATCACCGACAAATCTCGATCCTTTAAATCTCACCTGTACTCTTTACTGGTGCTCTCAATAGCTGTGTAAGTCACAGTAAGTGCCTGACTGGCACTATTAACGGCCTCAATACTCGACTGTTTGATCAAATAATCAAATGACAATTTCTCAAACTCCTTCACCTGAAATCTCACTCTCTGCTCCTCCCTCGGCGGGTCTGTCCTCCCATCTTCAGTTTCAAATTTAGCAAAACTTCCCGCCGCAACCTGTCACAAAAAAATCATAAAAAATTGAGGTTAACATGATAAAAATATACCTGAAAGCCTGCCCTCACCATCGCAGCTCCTCTCATCCTCAAGAAGCTCCTCATCACATACTTAAATGCCATAATATCCACCCCCAAATCATCAACGATATTCCACAACTAATGAATTCCCTCAATCAATCTCTCCAAGTCTTCATAAACGTTCATCGACCGGAAGCTGTCCCAACCGAACCTGAAGTGCTCGTCATTTATTAATTACTCACCGTTCATGACACTTACATGCCCTTCACCATTACATTTACCAGTCCATCTTTTTTCCACTGAAGGATAAATAATCCACCTCCACCGATTGAAAAATCAGAATAATTTACACACAAAAATAATCCGGAGAAAACTTGAACATCGGAACTGAAGAAATCGACATATATCGTCACATTATCGATAATCTGATTGGAATGTTCGATTAATCGAACAATCGGCCAACAATGCGCCCACTGTGGGGCGCCAGTAGCGATAACTTTCGGGGGGGCAATCGCCCAAAACACGACGTGTGCTCATTTTTTTTTGCTGTTGAAGTAATTAAAATATTTAGGAGTGAATTCGCTAGGGGAATTGAAATTTCAGTTACTTGATTGTATTTTATTTGTATGGTGTGGTGGTTGGTGGGTCCAGGGTGAGGAGTTCTTCGGAGGTGGTGGGTGGAACGGCCAGGCCCGTATCCACTACAAACAAAACATGGATGCCGTGGATATCGATACGCCGAAGCCGTCACAAGATGATGAGCCTGTTGAATCCGTTGTGGGAATATGTCGGGTTTGTTTACACGGCAATTTGATGATGAGAGATCTCTTCGGGGATGATGATGATCTCTCTCTGTCCAGCAAGGCCATGAATTTTGCAAGTGTCAAGGTGAGGGGCTGGAGAATTTCCGTGGTGCTCATGGAGCTGATGGTTCATTCGAACATCTGATTATGAATTTTACGGGTTTTATTTTAGTACCATCTGACATTTAAAATCGAGAGGGAAATCATAATCGGTCGGAGAATAATATTTTATGAAATTATAATTTCATTCAATTCAATGACTAATTGCTATGAGGAAATTCAAATTCGAGATTTTTGTTTCATTGAGAATTTGAATACCTAATTTGTAAATAATTTTAGATGATGCCAGGGGATGGTCTCCCGACTCAAGTCTGTTGTGACTGCGCTGAGAAGCTCGAATCAGCGTTCGAGTTCAAACGCCAAGTAGAGCAGGCAGACAACATCCTCCGAGAGCGTTACGACAACCTCACCATCAAGGAAGAGCTCTTCTTCAATGAGGTTGAAGTTCACCTGGAGAACGATCGACACGAGGACGTGCCAGAGCTCGACGTGGACAGCCACTACGATGAAGCACCAGAAACTCCAAACGTCTGCGACCCGGAGAAGTCCTCTCTCCTGAAAGACCACTTGGCCCTCCTGGAGGTGGAGAAATTGGCTGAACAAGAGCAACACGTGCTCGAGCACTCGACAATGATCCAAGAGGACACACTTCCCGCTCAACTCACGCATCACCCAATTTCCGAATCTCCCCTGAAGCAACCCCTTCTCCAACCCCAAGAGGACTACCTCCACGAGCCCTCCGAAACCTCCGGCCACCAAATCCTCATCACTCGTCACCACGACGACAACGTGAAGACAGAGAGTCTCAACCCTGGAGGAATGACCATCGACGAGCACAACTACATGGTCCAGCAAGGCTACACCCTGACAAACGACCAGGAACTGATGCAACAGGATGCCGATGACAATGGCTCCCAGGATTTCCCGACGTTGATGCTGGAGGACGAGGATCCAGAGGTTGTGGAAGCAGCCGAGGACGAGGCCAACGAGCAGGAACTTGACCATGAGCAGGATCAACAGCTTCGTCAAGCCCTGCATCAACGTCAAAATTCCCTCAACCCTAAACCACTAGAGCCTGAATCCTTAGAAGTCCTGGAAACTGAGATCTCGCCCTCGAATTCCAAACGATTGCGTAAAGACTCAGATCAAAATTCCTCGGAAGACAATTACTTTGAGAATCTCAACTTGAGCAGCAGATTGAAGCAGTTCGAGGAAGAAAAATCGGATAAAATATTCTTCATGTGTTACCTCTGCGACAAACAATTCGTATCAAAAGTTATTTTAAAAGAGCACATGCATTCGCACGAGGAAGTTCGTAAGACGCTGTCCCTGAAGAAGACCCCGGAGAAGTCTCAGAAGGTACAGACACCCAGTGGCAAGTCCCAGCCATCTGGGAAGAAAGCCAATAAGTGTCCCTACTGCGGGAAAGAATATCTCTATGTAATTTCGTTCAGTAAACACATCAAGCAACACGAGAAGAATGACGACGAGTTGAGGCACACGTCGAATATCGAAGATGACTCGGGCTCTGATGGTTTTGACAACACAGACACCTTCGAGGTGATCCACGACGATAGACCAGACTCCCCGGATCACCACGATCATCCCACAATCGAAGGATTGGATTCATCACAAGAAATTCTCTCCTGCACGAAATGCCACGAGAAATTTCCATCGAAGACAGATCTCCAACGTCACATGCACCATCACAATCAAACAGAAACCGAAAGATGCAATATTTGCTCGTTAGAATTTGATTCCTTAGAAAAATTGAAGGACCATCGGTCCACCCACGTGATGGAGGGCGTCCTCACGGAACAAGATCTTCGAGACGAGCTGTCCAACATTTGTACAAAAGAGTACACAGAGAAATCCAACAAGGTAGACCCAAATGACAAGGACTTGAAGTGTCGAAGTTGCTCCATGACGTTCATGTCGAAAAAACTCCTCATGAAACACCGGGATTCCCACGAACGCACGAAATACAGATGTAAGCTCTGCACTCAAGAATTCACGAAGAAAGATCACTTGAGAAAACATGCGGAGCAGCACTCGAGGGTGAAGTCCTTCAAGTGCACTCAGTGCACCAAAGTCTTTGGTAATGAGCTCACCCTTCGAAATCATTTAATCGCGACTAATCACAAGACGATACACCAGGGGGAGGAGTACGATCCCAATAAAAGGATAAAGCGTGTGGCAGCCAAAGCTGCTCAGAAGATCATAGATAAAATTAAGACGGAGGATGGACTGGAGGATTCCGATCAGGAAGATACTGAAGACTTCAGTGAAGATCAGAGATCTTCCAGAGATGACAAGTCCAAACGAACCAATCGAACGGACTTGGAGTGCGCCACATGTGGCAAGAGATGCAGCTCCAAACAGTATCTTCTGCGTCACATGGAGCTCCACTCAAAGGACGAGAAATCGGATTACAATCAGTCCAAGGCCAAACAGAACGATCTGAGCTCATTCCAGAGAACCTGCGGAACTGGATTCGACAGAGAATTCGACGATAACTCTGACGATGATTTTGAGAGTGGACTGGACTGGCCAATGGACACTCATGAGTGCACCACCTGCAAGAAACGGTACAGTACGAAAAAATCATTACTCCGACATCAACTGCTGCATGAAGAGCCGAATTTCGAATGCGACATCTGCAACGTAAAGTTCTATCGAAAGGACAAACTCAAGGCTCATTACGACAAGTGCTCTGAGAAAAATCCAGATCAAGTAAGAAAATGCAATATCTGCGGGGACACATTCGAGAACAATGATATCCTGAAGGAGCATCGAGCCAAGCACGTGGACGAGGGAATTCTCACCGAGGAAGACCTGCGTGAATTAGAGCCTAGCAGTGATGATCGTAAATCGGGTGAAAAAATCGCGAGAAAACGTAGAACAGACATCGTTGGACTAGAATGCACCGAGTGCAATAAACAATACACCTCTCGAAAAGGATTGTTGAGGCACATTCAGGTGCACGAGGGAAAAAAATACCTGTGCGACATCTGCCCGAAGAAGTTCTACCGTCGTGAGCATTTAAAAATTCACGTGGCAAAACACAACATGGTAAAACCGTACAAGTGCACTAGGTGCTCTAAGCGATTCATCAAAGAGGAGCAATTAGCAGCGCACCTCACTAAACACGAGAGAACATTCAAGAAAAACAAGGAGACTGATTCCACCTCGAAGAGATTCCTCTGCGAAATTTGCTCCAAGAGTTTTACGCAGTCGACAACACTTGTCGCTCATCTGCGAGCGCACAATGGTATCAAGCCTTATGTGTGTGAAGTTTGTGCGAGGCCTTTTACGACAAATGCATACCTCAAGATGCACATGAGAACGCACACCCAGGAGAGGCCCTACAGCTGTCAGTACTGTGCAAGGGCTTTTGCCAGGGCTGACACTCTTGCTAATCATTTGACGTCACACACCGGTGAGGCGAAGTACCACTGTAAATACTGTCCCAAGAATTTCAGGAGATTGAAGTCCCTCAAGGAACATGTCTTCATTCACACTGGACAGAGACCCTATGCCTGCCCAACCTGTGACCGAAGGTTCAATAATAACGGGAGCAGGTATGCCCACTCGAAGAGGTGTAAGCAGAATTTACTGCAGAATCAGGCAAGGCAGGGACAGGCACAGGTGCAAGCTCAGGAGATTCAGGCAGTTGTTATTGATAATCAAGGGGTTCAGGAGATTCATGAAGTCCAGCAGGTGCAAACTGTTCAGCAGGTACAGACTGTACAACAGATTCAAACTGTTCAGCAGGTGCAGCAAGTACAGCAAGTGCAGCAAGTGCAGCAGGTGCAGATTCAACAGCAGAGCCAGGGGCAGACTATCAGGCTGGCTCAGGCTGTTGGTCCTACCATGCAGGTTGTGCAGAATAAAAATATCAAAACCATTACCATCACCAGGCAGCCTGATCAAGTTGGTCATCAGGTTATTCAGCATCAGGAGATTCTCATGCCGTTAATTTTACCCCTGACTGTTACACTCACTGATGTTGATGAGGAGGTGATACTACCGGAGGGAACTAAAATTTTTACGACTACGTAGTAGTGATCAGGGGGGAGGGGTGTAGGGGCAGGTGGTTATGGAAGACAGGGTGGAGGTTGAAAGGCTTTATAGTGATCATGTGCCATTTTTTCGGTGAGAATTTTTTTGGTGATTTTGAGCTGTGGAGGTTGACTCTGCGGGCTTGGAGTTATTGAAGAGCGAATGGAAGTCGATTGGTTTGAAAAAAAAGGCTTCGATATCCGTTGATTATTTCACTCCACTACATAAATCTTTGTGTATAGGACTGTAAGGGTAAATTCGTGGATCAAATGAAGACTTTTGATATTTGTGGACATGTTTTATCGTCGGCTTTGTGTATAATACGTTACATAAGAAAATTATTTTTTCATGGAATATATATCGTAATGAAATGGGAGAGAAGTGCGGAATATTATAATTTTTTCGGAATATTGAGAATTCAATCTGTGAAATATTTTGGTTCTGAGAGATTTTGGGGAATTGATCGGTGAAGGACTGCGAGGGGAGGATTAATTTTTTGAGGGGTCAGTCATGAAGAGGGAATTCGTATTCAATTATCGAGTTTGTCGATATGTTCGAGTGATTGGACAATTTGTACTTGTGGATTCTCATTTTCCAGCGGTTTCTCTTTTCATTTTTTCAATCATTTGGAGAAGACGGCGAAGAGGTAGTTATAGGATTATTAAGGCGATACTTCTTTCCATTTTTAATGTACATAATGATTATAGTGTGAATAAATGAAACTTTGTAGCGTTTAAACAATTTAAAAATTTTTTTACTCCACTTTAACACGCCACAGGAATTTTCAAAAATTGACAATTTAATCGATCGAATTGCAAACCAAAATTTCAATTCCCAGAAATCTAATAAAAACCCGTTTAAATCCCCTTCCACCCAGACCTGCGCAACAAGGTGCCCCCCACTCTGGTCCAATCAGATGTTCGATAAAAAATTTTCCCGCGTATGTGTGACTTAAAAACAATGGAAAACACCTGTGGCTGTGACCGAAAAGGTCAATCACCCCCAGACAGCCCGACCACCCCCAAACCCCATGGAACCACTGGAATATTAATTAAAAAATCCCTGCAACATTAAAAATCAGTGACTTTATGTATATGTTGACATAACGGTTTTCCATGTGTGAGTGTAACCGTCGTGGGGGCCGATGTGAGTGCTCCATTCCGCGCTCTCAACTTTCCTCCTGTACCCTCGAAAATCCCTCGTCTTTTTCACCTTACGTAATCAAAAAATGAAAATCACAATCCAAAGATAAACCGAATATAATCATCCCCCAGGAGTTGACTCGTAATTCAGTGAAAACCTGGTGAAATCCCGACAACTGCGCACTCCCCACTCGAGACGATAAATCAGTAATTGACGGCTGACTAATTATCTGGAAAAAAATGTAACTAGTATGGCGATGGTTTTGTGGTGATTCGTATGAGAATACCTGGAGGTAAATTTGTCAGTGAAATTTGTGATAATGCACACGGAGAATTGCTACTCGTCGAAGCTGGATACGTCTGAGGTATCATCTGTTCAGTCCACCGTAAACAACGTCTCCATATTGGAGGAGGATCTCGCCCTCAGTTCGTCGACCCTCGGTAATCATATCGGCAGTAATTATCATTGCTTAGTTTTTATTTTTTTATCCGCGTGATTTTGTGGGGCTCCGGGTGACAATAGGGAACTCTCGTTTTTTTTTTGTCTCGAGGTTAGAAAAAATAACCGCCATGTTGGATTCCAAGTTTCTTATTACTCCCGCCTAATTAGTTCTGGTTATAAATAGTTCTTGTAAACAATTGTTGGGAGTGTGTCTTTTTCCAGGAATTTTTTTCGCGGGTTTGAGATTATATATTCGGTGATATATTGGAAATGATATTTAGAATATTTTGGATCTATAATTTTGGGTGGGGCAAAATGGTGTATCTAAAATTTTTAAACCATTCGGATTTGTTTCGATTTTTTAACATGATCGAGTTGATACGACATGATGTAAATAAATATAATCACTGGGTGATAGTTTAGTGGTGAGAATAATTTTGTTGAATTACGATTGGAAAAACAATCTTCTTACAGGCACGTCAAAAAAATGTGAGGACAGCTTCGAAGAGCCCGAGTACGTTCCTTATAAGTCCTCGAACCGAGTGGTTTATTTAAATGAGGACACAATGGACTGTAATTATTCGGAATCCTCTGGAACCCCTCGGATCCACCCCAGAGTCACCGACCCCACATCCCCAGATCTCTTCAACACCGATTCTGAAACTGATTCCCCACGACCAAAAAGCTCCACCTTCACGCGAATTCTCTCCCAGCCAAGTGTCACCATCTCACCGAGAAAGCCGAGCCTCAGCGAACAAATCCTGAGATCCGACGAGTATCTCTTCCGAAAAATCAGTAAATCCCTGACAGGAGTCCCTCCACCTCCCTCCCATACAATTTCCCAGAGTGACTGCACGGATTTTCTCCACTGTATAAAACAAAATCGGGAATATTTCTGGGCAAATCCGTTCAAGGATGAAAAAAATCTGGAGACAGCTCCTGAATCAGTGAAAAGTCCCCCAAAAAATGAGGGAAAGTCCACGATAATCCGTAGACCAGGGGGTTTACGTAATTTGACGAATGCCTTTGACGCCTGTGATGCCTCGAGCAGTTCAATATCCATCACGAGAACCTCCGACACGAACACTACAACAGATTTCTTTGAGACGAGTGCACATAGCACGACAGATCTCAGTAGAGATTTTAGCAGAGATGTTCAGACGTGCCAGAAAAGCCTTGAGGGAAGTGAAACGACGAGCATAGCTTCTGAGAGCAATTTACCAGTGGTGAGGGATGTTAGTACGAAACGAGTGACATTTGATGTTCCTGAAGAGGATCATTTGGCTATTTTTAAGACGATCGAAGAGAGTCACGCTAGAGCTCTACCCTGGCCCGTCATCTACCAGCACAAGAGCCAAGGAATTCATTACAATAGAAATAGATTCATCGAGGACTTCGAGAACCTCGCCATGAGGCTCTGCCAGAGGTACGTAGGTAACGAGACCCAGTCGACGTGCACGTCGTGGTTTACAAAACAAGCGCCATCGAGTGTGAAAAAACGAACGTTATTGGGTCGAAGGAATATAGGTCAGAGTCCAGGAAAACGTCTGAGTCACTTGGCAAGAAGAAGAAGAACTTTCTCCTCTGCTAATCTTCAAGGAATGGCTGAGAAACGACAATTGATGCTCAATCTCAAGAAACCAGGATTAAAAAAGGGAAAGAGTCCCAGAGGGAAGAGTCCCAGGGGAAAGAGTCCTCGGGGCTCTGCAAAGAAAAAATTGGCTAGAAAATTAATGATGGAGGGGCCCAGCCCGAGGAAAGTCAAGCTCGAGACGTCTAAACGTGCGTTGTTCCAGAGTCCTCCCAATGATCGTGCAGGACCCAGTTTCGTCAGTAATAATCAGTCGAGCAATCCTCAAAGGATAAAACGAGCTCTATTTCCCACTCCGAAGAAGAAGGATGAGCTGGCGACGGGTGGAGATGACAGGAAGGGAGAGGAGTCGAAGAAGAGGAAGAGCGATGAGGATTTGGAGGGACCAAAGAACAAGTGGGCGCGAAATTTGAGTTTTGATTGTTCACATGTGGAGAATTCCAGGGATTCGCAGATCAGTGAAATGAGTGATATCAATCGAAGGGTATGTGCATGCCGTCTTAATTGTTTATATATTATATATATTTATATAATATATATGTATTTTTGTCACCTGTTATTTCAGAAATTACTGTTCGCGGTTTCTGACGCTCTTCGGAGTAAAGGAGTGACAGTTGGGCATCCAAAATTCAAACAATATGCCGGGCAGCTCGCTAAAATAGTAAAAAAATACATGCCAGACTTGGAGAATCGAAATATTCCGAAGAAGACTGGCAGTACCACCGATCGAATGCTCAAACTGGCTAAAACCTACGTGCCACTCGTCATTGAATCAACCGCGTCCAGTTAATCGAAAAAATATAGATAATTAAATTAATTATTGATGAATTATTGATTGATTATCAGTGACATGATCATCTGACGTTGATTCGCTGTGACGAATCGCTGATTTTAATGTTTAACTATTGAATGATTTGACAATTGAATGTTGAAACGTGGAGAACAGTCATAACCGGCAGGGGATGAGTTCGGAGAAATATTTGGAAGACTTCCAGATATCTTTGAAAATTTAGTTGCTTTTTTAACTCATTTTCTGTCATCTACAACTTTTCCACTTGAATAATTGGTTGCAAATGCGCGACTGTCTTAAAGACTTTGTAATAAATCGGTGACGAATTTTACGTGTGACTGTTACCTTCCTTCTGGCGCTTCTAACTAATTACGAATATAATTTAACGTTAAACGAAGGAAAATGGAAAAATACAAAAAAGTAATAGATCATTAAAGGGGAATGGATTATATTATTCAAGGCTATTTTTATTAGCAATAAAATAGTATATTTTCCAACTTATAAATAAACAATGAAAAGATGCTACTTTGGAAAAAATAATATAAAATTATTTATAATAATTCATGTTTCCTTCTTACATTGTTTTCAGTTAGACATCTACTGTTTGTCTGCGCTGAAAAAAAAATTGAGTTGTTCTGCATTCACTTCGTTTTGCACCTGGGGAGAATCCACTCGAGACTCCTCATCAGCGATAAAACAACAATTACTATTTTAAAGGTATTACTTTGCAACTTACAAATAAATGATGAGATAACGTCACTTCAGCGAGGGATAAATAGTGGGAGTTTTATATTCTATTTAAGCTTCGTTGATATTCTCCAAACGAAGCAAAACTTTAATTTACACTTTCAGGAATGGGACTTCAACTTACATTCGTAATTATTCTTAATCAATCATCACCTCGTCCAAAGTAACGAATTAGTACAAAATATAAAAGGATCGATTTACAGTACACAAAGTTGCAACAGTTTAGTACATTTTTCAAGTGTTTACGCATTAATATATCTCGATCTCTCTCTCTTCTTTAAGAACAGGCCACGATGTTATGCCACGAGAAAATGAGTGTGTTAATTACACGATTATTTCGAGAATAAATGATTCAGCAGATAAATATGAGACCATTTTTTTTGTAGAGAATTTCCTAATCTACAAAAAAGATCCGTCCTACTAGAATCACTTATCCGAGGTAATCCCATAAATAACAAGATTAGACGATGACTCACCATCTGAATACAGAACTCAAATCTCATGCCTCATTGATGAAAAAAGAAAAACGTGGGAAAGTGGAAAAATTTGCATTAGAATGATCATCTGTTCAGTCATCGGATTTAGCCCCAACTCTGGCTATAACTTCATCGAGAATCTGTGTGAGCTCTTTATTCTCTTTTGTCTTCTGCTCGACAATCTCATTTAACGAATTGCTCTTCAGTTCCTCTTTCCTCAGGATTGCCCTCAGTTTCACCATTTCAGAGTCATGCTGTTTGCGGATTGCATCGAGATCTTGATTTGCCCTAGAAATAAATATCGAGCATTGAAGCAAATCGAGATATTGATCCACCCACTCAAAACGCCACCACTCCCCTCAAAATAAAAACAAAGATTCCAATCACTCAATTCCCCGCCCATTTCCCCAATTACCCAGAAATGGAAACATGAATCAATAAATTGACCAATCACTTACTTTTCAAGCCGCGCAGCAGCATGAGTCTTGATCTGTTCATATCTATTCTCCAGTGCTTTAATAATTTCCACATTTTCAGCAAGACTCTCCTTCAACGCACTCTCATTATTTTTCAACGTAGTAACGACTATCTTGAGCCTCTCGTACTTGGCATGAACATCATTGAAAGCAGCCTCACTGGCCATCAGATGATCCTTGGTGTCCTGCAGCTCCTCCATGAGAACACTCTTCTCACCATCGAGACTCTTCTTATCCCGTTCCCTCTCAGCCACCAACCGACTTATCGACTTCTCGTACTCATCCACAACCACATTAATCTGATTTTTATTTTTAATTTCCTGAGCTAGTTGCTTCTGGAGTTGACTGACAGTCTCAGCAAACGACTCTCTCTGCTTCTCAGCCTCCTTCCTCTCCCTCTCTCTCTCCACCTTCTCCTTCTGCAGCTGATCCTCTAATTGGAGGACAGTCGACCTGACGAGCTCCAATTCCTTAGCCATCGCTGAGTCAACTACTGGAACAGGTTCAGGTGTCTTTTCTACAACTTCAATCTTCTCCACCTCCTCGTGCTTCTGAATTGCACTGGCAGGCATTGGACTGTAGAACAGCAGCCTGTCAATGGCAGCAATAGCTGGATTCCTTTTAGGAGTTGTCATGTTAGGTAGTGACTCTGAGTCCTGATCCCCATTTCTCTCATCATTGGGAGGACTCGCTGTATTCCCCTGAGGTAACATAGTCACATTCGAAACGAGGGGATCAAATTTTATAAACAGAGACTCCCTCAATCTGTCAACTGTTGATTTAGCTGACGTCTGGGACTCGAAGAAGTCGAAGCTCGATGGATCCTTGAAGAGTTCGTTGGCGTTTGTTGATCCAAGATTGTCGTTGTCCTCTGTGAGCTCGAGGGAGGCATTAATAATCTCGTGAGCAATTGTTTCCGCCTCTAAGCGAAATTTCTCGAAAACTCCTGAGGGCTCCTCAGGGTTTTCACTGACTGATGGGATATCCTCTGATGCGTCGAAGAACCTCTGGTTGTTCTCGCTGAAAGGTGTGGGAGTCTTGTCCGCTTGATCCTGGGACTGGAAATCGTTTGGGGGTGGAACGAAGTCTGAGAGACCTGTACTCTGACGATTAGGGAGAAAATCCAAATAACTCGAAGGAGTTGGAATTGGTGGGAAAGGCCTCGGGTGAGTCTCGGTGCTCTGACGCTGGGGCTTGAATGCCTCGTACTGCTCGGACTCTGGAACGTCTAGGATATCGTCGGTTTCTTGGAGAATAATCGTTCTTTCTAGTTCCTCAGGGTCGGATGTCTCCTCGAGGGGTACATCACCAGTCTTCAGGGACTCTGTGTCTTCTGTAGCTAATTTGTTCGTTTGTTCCAACAATTCTGGAATTATTTCCAGTGGTGATGGGTTTTCCTCTTTTCTTTCCTCTGGAGCGAGAGATAATTCATTCGAATTCTCTACGTCTTTCTGTTTCTCGACGAATGTCGGCTCAGTTATTGACGAGATACAATGACCCGACGTGTCAGGTATGTTTGAAGATACTGAGACTTCTTGTTTCGGCGTTGAGTCAACTGCGGGGGAATCTGATTGTCCAGGTGGCAATTGTGGTGATACACTCCTTTTGAAAGCCTTAACGGGGAATGGCTCTTTGAACTCTCCACTCGATTTCAGAGAGATACTTTGGAGAGATGGTAGGGATGGACAGTCAGTGTCAAAAGTCAAGTCGCCAGCACTGACATTCTGATAAGTCGTGTTGGTCGATGTTTGATTAACCTCAGGATTTTTCAGAGACTCAGGATTCGAAGGCGATGTCTGGAGAAATGATTCAGTCGCTGTTTTGTACTCGGGGGAGTTCACGTGGTCATTTGTAACTGTTATCGTCACGTTAGGACAGTTTACTCCAGGTTCATCTGGTTTTATTGAAGATTTTTCAGGTTGATTCAGTGGTGAGGTACGTCCGGAGAGTACACGTGTACCGTTGTGGTCATCATCGAGGACCTGAGTCGCATCGTTGGGGAGATCAGTTGTTTGGTTGAGAATGGGTTCGTCCGAAGCAGATGTGAATGATGCCTCCGCGAGTGAGTGATCGACGGCGAGGGTGTCCTCCAGACGGATTCCAGCGCACGCTGAGATCAGGTCGTCGAGACCGGAGACCTCGAGATTCGTGTAGGAGGTGTTGGTGCGGCTTGGACTTGGTGGAATCAACGAGGAAACCGTCGATGCTAAACTCTGGAAGCTACTCGCCGAGGAGATGCTGTTGCTGTCGGTGGTGTGGGGTACGTCGGTAAATTCACGGGCAAATTTTACCTTTACCTCGTGCTCCGGGGATTTCTCAGGATCATTGACACTCTAGAACCGAGAGAATGGGATTATTTTTTCGGGTGGTGTGCAAGCGGAATTTTATAACAAAGAGTCATTGAGAGTATGATCGCGTCCTTGAAGATGGAAATACGTAGAAAATTTACCGGTGGCTCTGGGGAATTGGCGGTTGAATTACTCGGTGAATTGCGGTGCAATAATCGATTTATGTATTCCATTATTTCGAAGGGAAAAAATTGACAACTCGAGATAAGAGACGAATATCGATGATTGTTACGCGTGGCAAAACGACGCAGCACTGGTTTATTTCGATCGTGAAAAAAAAATCATCAGCTGACGCGTTAAAACGTCGGTTTGAATTTGTTACATTGCGCAACCACTGTGCAGACTGTGAGCTGGTGGCTAATTATAAAGATTGGGAACTTGAAGAGCAGTTGATCAAAGAAATTCCCGCATTCAGTTGCGTGTCGAATGTGCGGGTGAGTACTACTCACGCGAATCGCTTTTTTTTTCGGTTTATATTTTTTACAAGTGGTTCTGAAGCATTCTCCGATAACAGAATTTATTCCTCGTGGGATTTACTACTGTAATTAGAATAATCGCCGTAAAAATTGCGCGAGAAATGATTTTTTCTGAAAATTATTAAATATTGAGAGTTTCTGGTAAAAAAATTGTGTGAAATAGACACTTCGATTTTCTCGTAAATAAATTCTATTCCAATACAACAAATCGTGGTGAAAATTTTCCAACTAATTGCTAGAGTAAATTCGACTAAAGCCCAGTCGAATAAAAATTGAATAAAAAATTGAGAATAAAAGTAAAGATTTACTGTTGAAGACAAGTTCTTCTCTCAGTACATTATCTTTCGCTCAGTCCCGAATCCTACCTTTCTCATGATGTTCCCCATGGCGTCTGCCACTTCTATCTCTAAACGATCACAACTAAACTTCCCCATATCGTTCGAAACTTATTTTCCAAACTCAACTTGTTTTATATTTATCTCGGAAGCGCATCCGCCTGGAATGGAGCCAATGCACCCTATCTTAAAAATATTCTTTAATACACAGAGTTGACTCTAAAAGGAGAACAAACACGCCTCGCCTAAACACCATAAACTCGAAAGCCAGAAGAACCATCAGGAAACTCTTCAATAACAAATCAAATAAGAACAGCCATAAACAAATCGTCCAAAAGTCAAAGACCTTTCCCAAAAAAAATTTCACCCGACCGACAATAGCTCTTTAAATGATAAATCAAAAGCACCCTTAAATTTTTAACAATAACAAAGTCCAAGATAAAATAACAATTACCAAAAACTCATACCCAGAGTCACACCATTCATCTCATAAAACCCTGCACAGTAACGCTGTACATTTATTTTAATTAACGTGACACAAACTGAATTCCCATTTTGCACCGAAGGCCAGAGAGATCTCATTCTGGACTGTCCACATGCCTGAACCTCTATAAGGAAGCGTCCGTGACAGAGACAAGAGTGACTCATTGCCATCAGTAAAGAAGCCCTGCCCAATTACCGAACAGCCCAGAAGGAGTTAAACTGATGACTCTCGTTTTTTTTTTCATGATTTTTCATGACAACGAGTGGTGATATAAATGAATCAGGCATTAACAATATCGTGACAATTGTCAAGAATGGAGAGTGACTGCCATGGGGAATTGGTTTCTTCAGGGTTTCTAATATTAGAAGAGTCGATCGTTGCTCGCCCACATTTACGAGCACATAAGGATGTAACTGAACACAAGTACAGCTGAGGCCACAGATTGTAACCCAGACGAATGTCTTGGTGCACTCACCTCTTTTTGAAACACTTGGTGATACTGCGGTTAAATCCACAGGATTGAGACCAAATGTTGGAAGGCCTTTGTGAGATATTTTGTTTTGATCAAATTTGGATTTTTTTTTTTTTATTTTGTGAAAGTTATTTAGGCAAGGGGATTCCACTGTGACGGAATCATTGTTCCCGATGGGACACTTGTATTGCCGCAACGCGCACTGTACTATCGGTACACCGCGCACGCTCTCCAAACGGTGGGGTTTTTCTCGTGGACGTGCATGAAGAATTCCAGGGGGGGTATCACCAACTATGGTAGTATATTCTGGTGGAAGGTGGGGAGTTTGAAAGGGAACTCGCAAGAGTGGCGTCATCTGAAGGACGCCTGTTGATGCCCCAGGGTGCAGTGATAAGGGGATATTACCGATACCGACAACGGTTTCGAGGAAATCATATTTTACCTCCCGTCCTCATGTACGGTTGTGCATTTGTACATTTTTTAATTACACCATGAGGAAATCAAATTTTTTTTATTGTTAATTAAAAGTTTTTTTTTGCAGAATGTCAAGTGGATTTTCACGAGACAAAAAAAATTGACAATTCAATACCAATGATTTGTTTTGGTTTTGATCGCATTGCTCAAGGTCAACACCCTCAGGGTGCCGATAACTCGAAGTGCTCAGCATTTCTGCAGCGAAGAGGCAAAAAATAATCCCCGACATGAATGTATTTTTGCTGTGCTCCAGGACGACGATCTCATTTTATTTATAGAGAATAACATATGCGTTAAAGTCTGTCAGAGAACGGATGGAAAGAGTAAAAGTTATACTTGAAGGGTCGAAATACTCGATTAAATGAGTCTGGTAGAAACAGAGATACAAATACGAGTCAAGGGTTATAACTGTCTGAATGCCAGTACCAGAAGAGGGAGAGACACGTGATGACACATTTGGAAACAAAGGTGAATAAAGATAGAGAAAAATAAAATGATAAGTATTAAATTTGGAATAAAAAAATTGAAGGCTCGAGATGATTCAGCTGAATTGAGAGAACAATGTGCTTTTAATATTCCACGAAAATTACATTTCAAGGGGAAACCCAGGACGAAAGACGATATTCCTCCGATGCTCAATATCTTCCTGACAAATTCAGGTGTTTAGATAAATTTTATGTCATTTCAAAAATGGGAAAATATTTTTTATACCACTCTGTATTCTCGAAATTTCACTTTGACAATTTTGAGGTATTCACGACTGAAAGCGGTTTATTCGTCCTACCTCACTCGATTTGTTTGGACACGTAATTACTGATTGGGGTTATCTGCAGATTAATTACTTTTTTTCCTGGTGACATAGTGGGTGGTGAGTTCTGGAGTGATGCTGTAATTTCTCTCAGAATAACTCGGGTTCCTTCTCTGATTCCCACAGGACTTTTGCTCAATCTCGTTGGACTCGACATGCTCAAGAAATTATTCAACTCTCACAGAACACTCAACTACCACTAAAACACTCGGCACTGTCAAAATCCAGATAATATTTATCCCAAACTGTCAAGTCTTCTCTTAACGCGATTGTGTTGACGTGACTAGGCCACAATATTCAGGATGCTTGATTTTCTCCAACGGTTTTCTGAGGTGTTCGACAAGTTGAATGCAAAACAAATGAGCCAATCACAGCCGAGAATTAAGCCGAAACCTCTGCGCAAGTTCAAGTGCAGACTTTCAACTGCACATGCGTTAGACACAGCGCGGGAAGGATTTGAAAAATAGCACCAACTTTTATATTCTCGAATAGAAACAAAAATTATTTAATATTTCTCTTATTATAAAAATACATTTTATATTTCATTTGGCGTAAGAAATTATTCAGGAAAAAAAAATCGAATCTATTTATAGACCTTTTACGACGGTCTATCATTTTCTCTTCGAAACAAAACTTGTGATTCAGTAATTAAAATAAACCTGTAACTTTGAATTAACATTATAACCATAAAAAAAAATATTTTTTTATAAGTTGTTCATGAAATTGAGTATGAAAGGTTCGAGAATATTTTAATCTATCCTAATCTTCATAATACTCAGCGGCTTCGTTCCCAACAAAATTGCATCCAGTGTAGCTCTGATTTTTGACACAGTACATGATGACACTTCTCCAGTAAGGATCTCCCTGCAGCAGCTCAGGATTCCCAATAATAATTAACAAAGCTCGAGCCCTGGTGATAGCCACATTGAGCCTCCTAGGAGATGCCACAAACCCCAGTGCATGTTTAACGTCCTCTCGAAGGCGCTCCCTCCCCGATCTTACAGCCGACAAAATAATAATTTTTCTCTCCTGTCCCTGAAACTCCTCGACACTCCCCACCTTGGGAACGGCGACATCCAGCTCCATCAGCAACTCCCTGATCCTCTTAACTTGTTTTTGATAAGGAGCAATCACCCCGACGTCACTCCCCTCAATTCCACAACCATAAAGTTTCAATAAGTACAAATAAACCTGAGTAGCTTCAGCAGGATTGTACCAGCTCGGGCTGTCATCATCCTGCACGTCATCCCCATAGACTCCATGAAAAACAACAGCAGGAGGTTTACCCACTCTCTCAGGAAGATCTCCCCGCAACGTCTCCAAAAGCTTCGCCTCTTCGCTATCAATTCCGGACAAACTAGCTTCGAGTTCCGAGTCGTAGAATAAATAATTCGGCAACTCCAGGATCTCCGGAAGGCTTCGATAATTGATGACTAGTTTTGTCACTAATCTGGGGTCGTACCCTCTTGCGAATCCATCGAGATCTCTCTGATAAGGAAATTGATGAAGTAGTCTCACGAGAAAAGACTCTGCCAGTCCCAAAAAACACGCGTATCTGCTGTTGACAACAGGCCCTAGCTGCATGGGATCTCCAGCGAGGATGATCTGTCCCTGATGAGCCTCGATTAACGTAAGAGGAACTAGGATCTCCGGCTCTGTCGCTTGTCCAGCCTCGTCCACCAGGATATGGGAGAAATGGCCCCGAGGAAATCCCATCAGATGTAATTGACCCAACGCTATACATGTTCCTATTGTTATCCTGTGCCTTCCAAGAACACTCGTGGTGCAATTCAACTTGGGGCCTTCTCCGTAGTGCCTAGATACACCAACTGAATTCTCAGCGGCTAAATTCCCAGTTGCACAATAGGGTAACAGTCTCTCGGGGATGGAATCGTCCTGGAGACAGTGATTGGCAATCAGTCTGACGAGATCTCCAGGTTTCAATGCTCCAGAGTCCAGGAGACGCTCGGCGATGAGATTCGCCGAGGAGTTGGAGGGCGTGGCGATGAGTAAGCGGCTCTGGGGTAAGGTCGTCAGGATCTGGAGGATTGTTTCGCAAAGGGTGATGGTTTTTCCTGTTCCTGGGGGTCCAAAGATCACGTACGGTAGTGGACGTGCTGTACCCATGAGAATGTTCTTGACTGCGATCTTCTGGTAGACGTTCATGGATTTGTTGTACCAGATGAGTTTTTTTCTTTTTAAAGACGTGTCTGTTGTGAGTTCACGAGGTTTTATCAATTTCTGATGAACTTTTAAGAGCTTAAGAGGAGATATTGGGACTTCCTGGGTAAAATTTTCATGTGGAGTTGCCTCAAGGTCCTCATCGTACGGAGGAGTTGGGGGTAGAATTATTTTATTTATATGATTATGCTCTTCACCTCCACTGGTTTCATCTTCTTCGAAAATAATCTGAGGTTCTTTCTCTTTAACACAAGTGGGAAAGAGAATTTCTCTCGTTAAATTCTCGACAGCTAGGTCTACAGAATTATGGCACTTCGAGATCGATGAATATGAGCTCTTGAACGAGACCTGGCAGTCCTCCCCGTGGTAATTATCATGGAACCTTTGATTGAATTTCAGGAAGACCTCGCAACTGGTTACTTTGTGGATGCACCCTTCATATCGCAGAGTTCCCCTGGAGGAGTCCCACTTGAATGACACGATAGCGCGATCTCCCATCATCAGCGATGGCCTCTTCTCCGACAGCCCAGGAACCTCCAGCACCAGAAATTCATCAGAAGCCCTCAGTATGGCACTCTCCATATCATATCGCTGCATATCAATACTCAAACTGATTTCCTCGAGGTACAAAAGATTGTGAAATCGATTCCTGTAATTATCGATTGTTAATCCCTCGCTAAGACAAGGAATTTCCTCTCCGAGGATGACCTCCGCTTCAGCCTGTGACGTTCTCTCGTTGACGATCGGTAGAATAATATCCCAGAGTCTTCGAGGAACACTGAAAGTTTTCAGTTTCACTGCTCTGAAGTGCGGGGGCCTGATGGGCCTCACCCCGGGAATATAATGTTCCTGATCATAATCATCTCCTCGAACAATCAATTTATTTCCTCTACTTCCTCCGATTATTCTTGAAGACCCTGAGAATATTTTCGCGTTTACTGTTATCTTGATGTTTCTCCCGATCTTAAAACCCTTGAACGAGAAGATGAAGAGCTCCTCGGTGAACCCCACGAATTTTGCCTTCACCCTGAAGAAAAACCGAAGGGATTGGGAAGGATTTATTGTCTGCATCTGATCAATTTGTGGAGACAAAAGAGTCAATTGAGACTGGGATTTCTTGGACATGAAAATTCCCTTATAAAAAACCTGAGGAGATTCTCCGGTGTTTTCTACAAGTACTTCAAAATTTATTTCTTCTTTAATCTCGAGAGATAGATTTAGATCCTCAGTAATTCTCACTCCATTTTTATCCCTCATTAACGTATCACTCTTTTCAAGGTTTTGCGGATGTTCCAGTGAATTATGAGAGACTGGCTTGATCTGGAGAGGAACAACAGAGAGACATCTCCAGGTACACGTCCCCTGGTCGCTCTCGATGCAGTCACAGATGACTTTATCCCCAGCCGAAGGGATGTATCCAGGTTGGCAGGAGACTTTCGAGAAGATGGTGTCTGCCTCGATCCCACCGGTGCCAGTCTTCGCATCGAAATGACTGACGATTCCAATCTTCAGGTTGGATCTCAGTGGCTGGAGCTTCTCGACCTCGAGAACGAGCCCACCAAGATCCGGAGATTCTTCATCGACTTCCACGAAGCACTCAATCCTCACCCAATCCCCCACGTAAGGGACAAACGATGAGTCGATGCTGTCGAGATTGATGGCGATATTCAGAGGGTCCAGGAAGACCAGCCTGCCCTCTCGCTTGATGACTCTGGCGACGATGCATTTCTTCATCAATTGTTTATGGATTGTCGTGGATCCTTGATCCTCGAGGAAGCTGTCCCACGCGTCGTCGTAGACGTTCAGGACACTGCGAACCTTCATCTCATCCTTCGGAGATTTTTGGTACCCCAGGTACTCGACCTTCATCCCCACCTGTGGGTCGGGGATGGCGCAGTTGGCCCGATCGCAGAAGTGAACGTCATCGATCAGCAGAGAATCAGGTGTGATGGAGGTGATGTATCCTTTCTTGTGGAAACATCCGATGGAGGGGATAGAGGAGTTATCCTGGGGAAATGGGGAGTCCGACAGGCCGAAGGTGTCGATTGCCGTAGAGAATTGAGAGATGATGGAGTCCAGGTCTGGGGTGGACTCCGGCGTCGGGAGGAAGAAGGACTTTAGGGCATTCAGGACTGAGAACATGATTCAGGGTTTTTGAAAATCACCTGGAGAATATCGGATAGATTCTCCGAGGAAATTAACGATTTTAGAGGCCACGGTGAATTTTGAACTACTGGAAAGGGTGGAGGTGTGGTGGATGGGCTAGTGAATATTGAAAACATTTGGCGATGGTTTTACACGGTCGAGAGGAGACCTGGGGCTATTTGTAACCGTCAATAGCCTGATATCTCCATTCAGTAGCTTTCAGGTAATCTAGTTCCTTTCGAAGAGAGGATACTCGTTTAAGATGGAGTTCCTTCATCAGCTTCTTCTGCTGTTTTTGTACTTGCAAGTCGACTTTCATGTGATTGAATATTTTTGATATCTGAGTACCACTAGACCCTGATGAGGACAGACCCGAGTCCTGTGACTCACTTCTACCGGAAGTGTTACCTAAGGTTGGTGGAGAGAGCGTTGACGAGTTCATTTCAGTCAGTCATCCTTGAAAATAATTTTTTTTACGCTGTCAACGAGTTTTGTGGAGTTGACAGAACGTTTTGGGGTTGTGAAAACTCACCGGCACTGCTGAGCATTGGAGGATTGTAATTGGTTAACGATTTTTAAGGCTGGATAACGTGGGAGAAGTAATTTTACTATTTTCTCGCGATTTTTGGTCTGGAAATTCTCGTAGATCCTCGAGTTGTCGGTATTTTTGTCGGATAATTCAATTTTTATCAGAGATTATAGGGGAGATGGATAACACCAATGGCAGTGGTTCAACCAGCGAGGATTGACTGAAGCAGAGGCTCCGATCTGGGGGTTTGAGTGACCCCAGCGGCATCGTAGTACTGCACCCCAAGAGAGGGAGGGCGCAACACGCAATGCTGGGGTGTTTTTTTTTATTAACCAAGTTTTTATTGCAATGCTGGGGTGTCCATCAAGTCGACGGGGTGAATTTTATTTTCTGCTGTACGAATGCTTTTTGTTTTTCATTTGTTTAACTGAAATTTAACCGACTGTAGAACGTACGGAAGGGGGAAACCACTTCTTGTGGAATTTCAAATGAAAAAAATTATTCAATGTATTGAATATATACTACTAATGAAATTATAATTTCAAAATTGGCGCGTTGTCGAGTTGGCAGCGTGCTCGCCTGCCACGCGGGCGGCTAGGGTTCGATCCTAGCGCCATTCATTTTTTTTTTTCAAAATAATTTCAATTTATTCTTTTTTAAATGGCTAATCAATCGAAAGATCGTTTAAAAACGGAATTTTTGAAAATCGAGAAGATATTCATTGAAATTGACAAATTTGAAATTTTTTTTAAAAATACCTTTTCAAAATATATACCCCTAATGAATTTATGATTTTATAATAATTCGTTATCCTAGTGGTAACGTGCTTGCCTACCACGCCGACGGCCCGGGTTCGATCCCGCCGTCATTCATTTTTTTTTTTTAAATAATTCCAATTTTTT